GGGATTCTCAAAATAAAACCACTTTTCATCACCAGTCACAATTCAATGCAAAAATAAATAAATAAATAAATAAATAAATAAATAAAGGCTTTCTTTTGTGCCATGGAAGCAACATTTTACTGGTGACTTTCTGGTTTTCCACTTGTCTTTCGTTCAGTTAATGTGGTACCCATTTTCCTTCCTTTAAAATCTTTCCCATTGCTTGTAAACGATCGGAAATTGGTTGCTGAGCAACATTTAATCTTTCTGCAAGTTGTTTTTGAGTTTGACATATATCTTTATCCAATGATGCTTGTAATTGTTGGTCTTGAAACTTTTCCAGTTGACCTGGACGTTCTTTGTCTTTCATATTGAAGTCTTCATTTTTAAAGTGTTTAAATCAGCATCCATAAGGATGTTCACCATAAGCTTCCCGAAGTATCCGATAACTTTCAGCAGCACTTTTCTTCAAAATAAAGTAATGAATTAAAACATGCACTTTTTATTTGGCATGAAATTTGACGTTTTTAAGCATAAAAATATCTATGATGTTAAGACCTTCAGAAAATTTGACATATGAAGTTTTTAAAAAAATATTTTTATTGATTTCAGAAGGGGATGGAGAGAGAGAGAGATAGATAGAAACATCAATGATGAGAGAGAATCACTGATCAGCTGCCTCCTGCACGCCCCCAACTGGGGATCGAGCCCACAACCCGGGCATGTGCCCTTGACTGGAATTGAACCTGGAATCCTTCAGTCCACAGGCTGAGCCAAACCAGCTAGGACTGACATATGAAGTTTTGAAGCATGTTGTCAATACAACAAAAGAGCATACCTATAAAATCGCATATATATATATATATATATATATATATATATATATATATATATATATATATCAACATATGTGTAACTCCATCTATTGAAAAAATTCTGCATTATTAATCAGTACTGGTTAGTAATGTGGAATTTTTCTATACTGGTTAATAATAAGGAATTTATCTGTGTTAAAGAACAAAATTCAGCCAAAACCGGTTTTGCTCAGTGGATAGAGCGTCGGTCTGCAAACTGCAGGGTCCCAGGTTCAGTTCTGGTCAGGGGCACATGCCTGAGTTGCAGGTTCAATCCTCAATGGGGGGCCTGCAGGGGGCAGCCCATCAATGATCCTCTCTCATCATTGATGTTTCTATTTCTCTCTCTCCTTTTCTTCTAAAATCAATAAAAACATAATTAAAAAAGAATGCCTATTCCTCATGAAGAGTCTCAAGCAGGTATTCATTGTTATCAAAGGAGATGACAGGTCTGGGCCTCGAAGCAATAGGCTATACCTTATAGTCTAGATGTGAATGGGCTATCTCATCTAGGTTTTTGCAAGTCCACTCTGTGATATTAATATTCCCACCAGGACAAAATCGCCTAACCATGCATTTCTCAGAACCTATCCCCTTGGTTATGTTAAGCAACACGTGACTGTATTTGTAGAAAAGCAAGGTGGGGTTAACGGTTGAAGAGGTATTTATGAGTCAACAGCCGAGGGTGTATATATTACTGCATGTCCTCCTGTTCCACTAGGAAGGACCCCAAATCAACCATGCCTTGCTCTGAGTGATGAACACACTGGGAAGAAATGAGGAGACCCAGATGCTGATTCCAATGCCATGGCCTTGGGAAGTCCCTCAGCCCCCTAGGCTAGGTTAGTAACCAGAGGGTGGTAGACTGGGTCATCTCTAGGATCCCCAGCTCTGAAATTCTAAACATTAGAGCATGGGGGTGGAAGGTGATTAGTAAACCTGAAAACAACCTCCATCTGCCCTGGTATTGAACAAAACAAAACCAAGGGACAGAAGCGGTGCGAGTCTACCAAGTTCCAGTGGAGCAATTATAAATGCATCACAATACAAACTACAATATCCACTATTATTAAGTAAGGCTATGATATACAGTAGTAAAAAAAAAAGGGGGGGGGGGACAGAAGCAGTGCGAGTCCACCAAGTTCCAGTGGAGCAACTATAAGTGCATCCCCCATACTCCTCACTCCTGGGCAACCAGGACGATGCTTCTTCGACATGACTGCGTTCTGCCTGCCTTCTTCCAAGGCGGAGTTCGGCCTGTGGGTCAGCCTGAAGTGCAGAGGTTTGGACTGGGCCACAAGAGCTCTCTCCCTTCATTGCCCCCTAAGCCTATTTGGCATGTATTCCCAGAAGAGACTCTGAAAGGCACAGAAAGCAGAAGGCTGTGTAGTCACAGTACTATGGTAAGCCGGCCTAGATCGCCCCCTGCCTATGCCCTGAGGCCGGTCTCAGTGGGGTCCCTTGAGCGGATGTCCACCTGAGGCTCTTTCCCTGACCTGGCCTTCCCACCAAGCCCACTTAGGAACCTGAGGTCTTGGGGAGGCTGCATTCCCCAATAAGGGCACGATGAGGTTCTGAGAGCTAGTGGAACCAGAGCCTCGGAGACTTCATGTGACCGCTAGGGGGCTCTCGGTCCTCGGTGGCTGCTGCTGCCCTCTTGTGACCAGATAAGAGACTGGCAGGAAAGAAGTTGCAAAAGAGAGCCAAGGGTGGACTTCCTAGGGAGACATGTTAATAACAGTTATCATTTTAAAATAACATTATAGCAATATTTATGGTTACATGTTAGTTAACATTTTGACTTGTGTACTTACCAGCCTGTGCCCAGCACTCTTCTAAAGTGCTTGACATGTATTGCTTTATTTAATTCACACACTCGCCTATAATATAAGCACTATTATTATCTCCATTTTGACGACGAGAAAACTAAGCACAAGAAAGTTTAAGAAAGTTGCCATGGTCACACTGCAGATCAGAATTCTCAGTCTAAAGAGTCTGGCTTCAGAAATGTTAGGGGCAGAAATAAAATATTGGGGAGTAGCTATTAATTATAAGAATAAAAAATCTGTTAACCATGATTGTTTCACTCTGATTGAAGAAACATGATCTGGATGCAGCACATCCTCTCCATTTGAGAGCTACCTATTATCATCTACCTAATAAAAGAGTGATATGCTAATTGACCATACCTTCATGACGGCCACCAGCCAATCGGGAGTGAGTATGCAAATTAACCCAACAAAGGTGGCGGGTGGGGGGGCTGGATGCTCTGGGCCTCTGAGCAATGTAGGAAGGCCAGGGAAAGGAAGGCCCATTCTGGCACCAATCGGGCTTCTAGTAGAAAGATTAATAACCTCGCTTCTGAAACTGGAGTGCCAGCTCTTTGCAAGCCCCCAGATTTCATTGCCAGTAATAAGTAACCATTATACCCATTTTTATTCCTTTTGCCTACTTCCCGTGTAATCTTTGTCCTTGAACCCCCTATAAGTAGCTGGCTTATGGGGGAGTTTGCCGAGCCATTTTTGTGGATGACCTGCTGCTCTTCCATGCTGCCAGCATTATTGGAGTAGATGCTCAGATATGATTTAATCCTGTCCCTGCTTAATTGGAGCAAGTAGTGGCAGGCAGCCTGGACCCATTGGTTGTCCGGTTTCAGAACCTCTTTGTAAACAATTCTGAAACTAAGTCTCATTTTTTAGATTGCCAGGTAACTGCCAGGCTGCTCAGTTACATTACAATTTCAGATAAACAACAAATAGTTTGTTAGCGTAAGTATATCCCATGAAATATTTGGGTCATACTTAATACCAACAAATCATATGTTGTTTGTCTGAAATTATAATTTAACTGGGTGTCTTGCATTTTTATTTACTAAATCGGGCACCTTTTTCTCCGTCAGAGGCCATCCCCTATATAACCTCATTTAATCCTCCCAGAAAGCTTCTCAGGTGCCCCAGTACAGAGCGGGGGCCTGAACCCATGTTCTCCAGTAAAAACTGGGGCATGTGCCGAAACCGGTTTGGCTCAGTGGATGGATCGTCGGCCTGCGGACTGAAGGGTCCCAGTTTGATTCTGGTCAAGAGTCAAGGGCATGTACCTTGGTTGTGGGCACAGCCCCAGTAGGGGATGTGTAGGAGGCAGCTGATCAATGTTTCTCTCTCATGGATGTTTCTAACTCTCTCTCCCTCTCCCTTCTTCTCTGTAAAAAATCAATACAGTATATATTCTTTTAAAAAACGGTGCATGTTTTCCACGTTAACAGGAGAGAAAAGTAAGGAGCAAGGATTGCCCCTCAGAAACCTCCCTTCCTGGTGCGTCCTCAGCCCTGCTCTGATCTGGGGAAGAGCTGCAGGCACCTCCTTATGTAGGAAAAACAGGGAGGTGCTCCCTGGGCTGGAGCAGTGGCGCAGGAGTGGAGCCGGCGCTCTAGCTCCGGTGCCCAGCCCCCACTGACCCTCCCGGGAGGCAAGAGGGAGACCGCTCCGGGGCCCTGGGGAGCTGGCTGAGGTTCGAGTAGCCGCCTGCTCTGGGGCCCCTGACGCTCCTCCCCACGGCTGTTCACCTGCTGCTCCGGGCTCAGCCGGCAGCACAGCGCCGGGCTGCGGAGGCTGCATCGCCCGCGGCTAAATGGGGCCCGGCAGCCGAAAGGCGGCCGCGGAAGGAATCTAGGAAACAGGGACCGGGGAGGGAGCCTTCCTTATCGGGGAGCGCGGCACTTCTGTCCAGAGGGAACACCCTCTGCATTTTTCTCTCTTGACTCTGCCCATCTGCTCCCACCCCACATACCTGTGCCCTTCCTTCCCCGCAGACAGACACAGCCCGCTGGCTGGCCCTGCCCGTCCCGGCTGGCTGACCCGAACAAGGCAGCAGTCAAGGGAGTTTCTGGGCTGGGACCCCCTCTGGGGTGAAGGCTGGGGTGCCCTGCTGGTATGTGCCCCGACAGGTTTTTCTCTATCGGCCTGAAATCAGCCTGGAGCCTGTCTGACCTGCCCCCCCAGGGAGCCGGAGCCAGAGGCAGAGGCAGAGAGCCAGGTCAGAAGCCGGCCCTGGAGCCTGGGCTGCGATGGGCCCACCGGCCCCGCTGGGGGAACTGGGCACAAAGCCGCCTGTGTCAGGCTGAGCGGCGAGGCCGGCAGAGTTCTCCCGCGTGGCCGGCCGGGGCGCCGGGTTCCCGGAGGAGAGATGCTCCGTCGGGAGGGAGGAGGCGTTGGCTTGTGGGACCCAGAACAGCCTGGTCCTCTCCCACGTTTGGGAGGGGCCGGAGCCCGGCAGCAGCTGGGCTGGGCTGGGCTGCTGGGGAGGTCATCTGACTGGCTGCTCCACCTGACGGTACACGCCCCCCTCTCCTCTACCAGGCCACACAGGAGCCGGTGCCCACACCGGCACACACACCACCAGGCTGTGACGACACCCACCTCCCCCCCAGCTCCTCTGGGTAAGCACCGGGCCTGGGCCCCCAGGAGGAGGGTGGGGTGGGGCGGGGTGGAGAAGGGGCCTGAGGATCTCTCGGGGGGCGGGAGAGGTGAGTTTTCCTTTCCCACCTGCTCCCCTGTCCAGGCACCCAGGTCCCCACAGGAACACAAACACCCATCAGTTCAGACAGTGCACCTGCTGAGTTAGAGGGGTTCCCCCCCCCCCCCCAGGCTCCGAGGGGGACGGGCGGACAGCAGATGGGCAGCTCAGTGGATTGGGGCCAAAGCAGGGGTGTTGCTGTCAGAAGTTGGCTCCCACCCTACCTACGTGCTCACTGCCCTGGGGACGCCCGCCCAGCAGGCCACGGAGGCCAGGGGACTGGGGCCTCCAGAGGGGGTCATCCACCTCAGGCCAACGGCTCCCAGCCCTGGAGTCAGGGAGGGTTCATCCTGATCCACACTTGTTTCCTGGAGGAGGTCGAGAGGTGAGGAAGGTGGGGGCTCCCTCTCACCCTTCCACTTGGGCTCCCAAACCTGCAGAGCAGGTCGAGATTCTCTTTTTCTGCAACAAGGAACATGGGAGGGCAAGGGAGCCCAGGTCTCGGGGCCGAGGGGTCACAGAGAGGCCGGGGGCGGGGGCCGGCCGGCCGGCCGGAAGGTCCCCTCAGGCGGGCGCTGTTTTCCAGGCGGCCAGCTGCACCATGTCGGTGAGCAGCGAGAAGACGGGGTTCTCCCTGACCCAGGAGATCCTCAGCCACCTGGGCCTTGCCAACAAGGTAGGGGCTGCCGGGACTGTAGGCACCATTTGACTTGATCAACTCAAGGTGTGAGGGGGCTGGGACCAGGGGAACAGGCCAGGCCTCGGGGCCAGGCCAAGGGTCCGGGGCACGGGGAGGCCACGGGCACCCCTGTGATGCCTGCTTACTCTTCAGACTGCAGCGTGGGGGACCCTGGGCACCCTCAGGACCTTCCTGAGCTTCAGCGTGGACAAGGACGTGCAGAGGCTGCTGAGGGCCATCGCAGGCCAAGGTGAGCCCCTTCGCTCTGCACCTGGGGTGTTAGGGGTTTGAAGCCGGTCTGTATGCCAGGGAAGGGCGAGCAGGGAGGAACTGACGAGCTCGATAAACGTCTGTGGAATGCCTTAATTCCTGAATGCCAAGTGCCATGGCAGGTGTGTCATCGCCATTCTCACACCCTGTGAGCTGTCTCATTATCTCCACTGTGCGGATGAGGAAACCGGGCTCAGGGAGGTGAGGACACCTCCCCCAGGTCTCCCAGCTCAGAATGGCAGAGCTTAAATCCTAATCCAACTCTGCTGATCCCCGAAAGCCTCTTATTTCCCCACCACCCAGGCCACCTTTGCCTAAATCTGGGTAGGATTTGCATGCCATTTGGCATCTCATTTGCATTTTCTTTTTTAAATGATTTTTTTTTTAAGAGAGGAAGGGAGAGGGAGAGAGAAATAGAAACATCAATGTGAAAGAAACATTGATTGGCTGCGTCCTGCACAACCTCCCCCTCCAACTCACTCCCCACAGAGGATCCAGCCCACACGTGCCCTGACCAGGAATTGAACTGGCAGCCTCTCGGTTCCTGGCAGCCACTGAGCCACACTGGCCGGGCTGCTGCTGCTGCTTCTTCTTCTTCTTTTTCTTCTCCTTCTTTAATATATTTTATTGATTTTTCACAGAGAGGAAGGGAGAGGGATAGTCAGAAACATTGATGAGAGAGAAACATCGATCAGCTGCCTCTTGCACACCCCCCATTGGAGATGTGCCCGCAGCCAAGACACATGCCCCCAACCAGAATCAAACCTGGGACCTTCCAGTCCGCAGGCTGATGCTCTATCCACTGAGCCAAACCGATTTCAGCCTGCATCTTCTTTGGAAACCAGATGAAAGTGGGGGTGATAGGACCCCTGCCCCTGTCCTTCCAGCCTTTTCCGGGACCTTGTTCTATGTCCTCCTCGGGAGGCGTGAGGGACTCCCAACCCTGTAAGGACCCTGATGGGGTCTTCCCAGCCCTTCTCTCGGTTCAGGGGTGGACCGCGCCGCCATTGTGGACGTGCTGACCAACCGGAGCCGAGAGCAAAGGCAGCTCATTGCTCAGGCCTTCCAGGAGCGCACCCAGCAGGTGAGACCCCTGGGGCTTCCTGGGAGGGAGCCGGGCACGGGGGTGAGGAGTCCCTGGGAGACTTGGGGTACACCATAGCAGGCCGGCCCCTGCCCCCTGGTTAAATGGGGTGGTGCTTCAGGCTTGAGATAAAAACCAGCCAAACGCCCCCAAACCCCCTACACGTCTGGGAGCCCCCTCACACCGCTCCTCTGCCACTCCCGGGTAGGACCTGCTGAAGTCCCTGCAGGCGGCGCTCTCGGGTCACCTCGAGAGGATCGTGGTGGCTCTGCTGCAGCCGGCAGCCCGCGTGGACGCTCAGGACCTGAGGACGGCCCTGAAGGTACCGGGATGGGGGCTGGACGGGGGCTGGGAAGGGAGGTCGCCCCGGAGGGAGGAGAAGGTGCACGGCCTGCCAGCTGCCCACTCGGGAGGAGCAGGCCTGGCAGAGGCCTGTGTGGATGTCCCCGCCTGACCCTCAGGAGGAATGTGCTCGGCACCTGCTCGCTGCGCCCTAAGGACACGGCCCCGTCTCAGAGCGGCCTCCCCATCTCTCCTAGGACTCGGGTTCCGCTGAGGACGTGGCGGTGGAGATCCTGGCCACGCGCACCCCTCCCCAGCTGCAGGAGTGCCTGGCCGTCTACAAACACGGTGAGAGCGGTGAGAGCGGTGAGAGCATGAGGGAGGGGTGCCAGGAGCTGAGGCCCGCCCTCCCCTTCCTGCACTCAGTCCGGGAGTCTGTCTGCCCCGGTTCTGTTACCTGGGGATCTCGCCTCCCTCCTGCCCCCACCCCGGGCTCCGTCTCCGCAGGAGACAGCCCGATGGGATCAGGAAAGAAAGGAGCAGTGATGAGCCACCTTAGTCTGGGGCTCCAGGGCAGGTGCCGGGGTAATGGCCACGTCGGGCAGCAGGACAGTCCCAAGGGGAGCTGTGTCAGCTCCGCAGCCCCGAGCTCATTCTGCCGCCATGCAGCCAGGGGGAAAGGTGGGGCGCTCTCTGAATGATGGGTGTCACCTCTCGGGCTCCTGGCTGCTGGCCTCACCCACTAATTGGGAACTAGCTTCTTCTCATCCTCATCTTAGCCGCAACCCCCTTCTTTTCTTTCCCCGATTTTCCTTGGATGTCCAGTCTTGGCCTATCTCTCTCTTTAAAAAAAAAATTTTTTTTTAATATATATGTGTGTGTGTGTATGTACATATATATACATACACACACATATATAAAATATGTACATATAGCCATAACCAGTTTGGCTTGGTTGGATAGAGTGTCGGCCTGCAGACTGAAGGGTCTTGGGTACCTTGGTTGCGGGCACATCCCCATTGGGAGGTGTGCAAGAGGCAGCTGATTAATGTTTCTCTCTCGCTGATGTTTCTGACTCTCTATCCCTCTCCCTCTCTGTAAAAACTCAATAAAATATTTTTATATATTTATCAATATATATATATATTGATTTCAGAGAAGAAGGGAAAGGGAGAAAGAGACAGAAACACCCATGATGAGAGAGAACCATCCATCAGCTGCCTCTTGTACACCCTCTACTGGGGGGCCGAGCACGCAACCCAGGCGTGTGCCCTGACCAGGAACCAAACTGTGATCTCCCGGTTCATAGGTCGATGCTCAACCACTGAGCCACATCAGCTGAGCTTGGCCTATCTCTTAATCCTCTCCAACCTCTCTCCCTAATGGCTTCTGTTTTTCTCTATCCTCACTTTCCTCATCTTTTCCTTTGTAATGTCCTACCTCTCACATCACTCTCCTCACCTCCAGTGAGGGGCCGGGCCCTCCCCATCTTGCCTCATCCTATGGGTTTCCTTACCTCCTCTTCCTTGGCACCTGCAGCTGAGACCAGCCTCAGAGCGTGATTCCACAGCACCTGGGCGCTCACAGCTCAGGGGTGTTTTCAGGGTGGCCAGGCTGGTGCGTCTGCCTCCCATCCTGGGGAATGGCAGCCACTGAGCTGCTGGGAGCAGGGCCAGCAGGGCTGGCAGGTCCTAGAGGCATCCCCCTTGGGGAAGATCGGGAGGACTCAGAGGGCTCCTGACCCCACCCCAGATTTCCATGTGGAGGCAGAGGAGGACATCCAATCCGAGACCAGCGGAACCTTGCGGGACCTGCTCCTGGCCCTGGCCAAGGTGAGGGGGGCTGACTGGCATGGAAAGAGAGTTACACCATCATCTGGGGTGGAACGGGGGGAGAGGGGAGCGGGGGGACAGAGTGTGGAGCATGTGTTTTTTTAAAAATATATATTTTATTGATTTTTCACAGAGAGGAGGAGAGAGGGATAGAGAGCTAGAAACGTCGATGAGAGAGAAACATCGACCAGCTGCCTCTTGCACACCCCCTACCGGGGATGTGCCCTCAACCACAACGTACATGCCCTTGACCTGGGACCTTTCCGTCCGCAGACCGACGCTCTGCCACTGAGCCAAACCGGTTTCGGCTGGAGCATATTTTGATGTAATGGACAAGAGAGGACTTTGGGGGGGGGACTAGGGCTGGGTTGTCGACCTGGAGATAAGAAGCTGTCCCTCGAAGAGTCCTGAGAGCGTTTCTCCTCCTAGGGGGGCCGCGAGAGTTACTCGGAAATCATTGACTATAACCTGGCAGAGCAGGACGTCCAGGTGAGCAGGGGCTGAGGAATTGGCACAGTCACGCACCTGAGACCCCTCCTCTGTCATATCTTAGTGCCAGCAGCAGCCTGTGTACCCTCGAGTCCTACAGGCCTGGGGAAGGAGCCCTCGGTGGCATGATGGGGGTGTGGGGTGTCAGGTGGTGTCGCATCTGAAACCTTCCCTCCTCTAACCTCTGGTTCCTGACCTCACTGGCCTTTGGGCTGGGGGACCCTCCCCAGAGTCTCCCTCGGGGATTATTTCATTCCTTCCGTGCCAGAATTCCCCAAACGGGGGATGGAGCCGTGAGGGCAGAACCCCTCTTGTAGCTTGGCCCCGCCCCCCCTTTTTAATATGTTTTTATTGATTTTAGAGAGGAAGGGAGAGAAAGAGGGAGAAACATCAATGATGAGAGAATCATTGATCAGCTGCTTCCTGCACACACCACACTGAGGATGGAGCCTGCAACCTGGGCATGTGCCCTGACCGGGAATCAAGCTGTGACCTCCTCGTTCATAGGTCAACGCTCAACCACTGAGCCGCCCTGGCCCCTTATCCCATTTCCACCATCATTGTGATGGATTCTGCGGACACTGTAACCGTGGCTCTGCAGCCCCCAACCAATGATCCCGATTTACTCCCCACCCCCAGGCCCTGAAGCAGGCGGAAGGACCCAGCACAGAAGGAACATGGGTCCTTATCCTCACCCAGAGAAATCCCGAGCACCTCGTCCGAGGTACACACGAGCCCTCTGTCTCCCCTGCCTGCTCTAAGGATGAGTCTTGCCTGAGGAAGGTGAGGGAGCTCATCCTTCCCTGTGATCACCAGCGTTTATCTTTCTAACCACCTCCTCCTCACCCAGTGTTTGATCAGTACCAGCGGCGCACCGGGCATGAGTTGGAGCACACCGTCCGGAACCGTTTCCATGGAGATGCCCAGACGGCTCTGCTCAGCCTAGGTAGGGGCCAGCCCGGGCCTTGTGGGTAGAGGGAGCTCCGTGGCACTGGAGCTTCCTCCTCCACCTCTCCCCTCTTGCTTCCAGCCTCGGTGATCAGGAACACGGCGCTGTACTTTGCCGATAAACTTCACCAAGCCCTTCAGGTAAGGGGGACCCTCCTTTCCTCGTCTGCCTTGGGGACAAAAACTGGGGGAGACACCTCCCGGGCAAGAGAGAGGACGTTGCACGTTGCTGCTAATGCAACAATTTCACATTTACTTTATTTCCTTCGCAAACTTACAGCAGCTCTCGGGTTTGCAAGCTGTCTTGTCAAGAGTGCAGGCGTGAGCTGTGGTTAGAGCTAAGTTAGTTGACCCTCCCGGGCACTCAAGCTAACGGTCTGGCCTGACTAATGTCCAGGTGGCCACATAGCGATATGACTTTGTTCTGGAAGACAGTGCCGCGTCCAGTTTCAGTCCTTGCCAGAACGGCGATGTCCTTGATGTAACACCAGCAAGAATAACGACAAGAGCCCGCATTTCGTAGGCGTTCACTGGGCACCAGGGCTTCTGCTGAGCACACTGCACTCATGTCAGTTCATCCCCGTTTTATAGATGATAGACTGAAACAGAGAGGTTCAGTGCCTTGTCCAACGTCACACAGCCGTGTAGTTATCTATTCTCCTTACAAAAGACAAAACGGTCCTGTAGGACATTGAACTGTCACATGCCAACTCCTTGTCTATACCCTATACCATAGGTATTGGTCTAGTCCCACCCGGGTTACTGAGCTTGTAGAAATTGAGGGTTTTTTTTTTTTTACAAATTGACATAAGACCCTCCACCACCAAAAAGCTGACAACTCACTAAAGACTTAGATGATGGTTAGCATTTTTAAGTAATAAAGTATATTAAAATTAAGGTATTTACATTGCTTTATTAGACATACTGCTAGTGCACACTAAATAGGCTACCACATAGTGTAAACGTATTTTTACTATGAACTGGGAAACCAAACAGGTTGTGTGACTGGCTTTATTCTGACACTCGCTTTATGACGGTAGTGTGGGACCAAACCCACAGTCCCTCCAAGGTGAGCCTGTGCTGTAAGCCACACCATGAGGGCACTAGGACCACCTTTGTCCACGCTGCCAGACTTTGTTCTATATTACTCATCATTAAGCTAGTGACTTTGGTTTGAGTCATTTCATGAGCAGAATCTAGTCATCTAGTCATTTTGCTCATTGAGCCAGGTCCCGCAAAGCTATAAATAAATAAAAAAATCCTCTAAAAGGTGAAGAACATAAAAATAGTTACTATTTTGGCAAATGGAATAGCCTTCTGTATGCTGGTTGAGAAATCATCATGCCTTGTTGACAGCTACTCCAAAGACAGTACCAACAACAAACAAAGCCAGCACATACAAGCACTTGTTTGATCGTCTAGAGATTTCCATTTTGACAGTAGGTTATTATTCTGACCCAATAAAGCTTGTATTATTATAGTGAGTCAGCACTGAGATTCATCTGAAGAGTTGTGGTTATCTCATTTGCGTCATAAAAACAAATTGTATCCCAGCAGTGAATAATTGTAATGTATGCATTTGGATTACAGGACACACACTTTTGAATATAAATGCTACGTTTATCTTAGAAGCAAGAGTCAAAAAATAATATAGGCCCATTTTTCTGAAAAAAAAATTTTTTTTCAGAAAACTAAAAAGTTTGTCAATTGGATGCCAAGTATTTTCTCAAGTATCAAGACTAGGTTTATGCCCTGGCCGGTTTGGCTCGGTGGATAGAGTGTCGGCCTGTGGGCTGAGGGGTCCTGGGTTCGATTGTGGTCAGGGGCATGTGCCTTGGTTGCGGGCGCATCCCCAGTGGGGGGTGTGCAGGAGGCAGCTGATCAATGATTCTCTCTCATCGATGTTTCTGTCTCTCTGTCCCTTTCTCTTCCTCTCTGTGAAAAATCAATAAAATATATATTAAAAAAAAAAAAAGAAAAAAGACTAGGTTTATGTGTGGAAGGTACTTGTATACCAGTGGGAATATTCAGTTAATGAGTGACTCTTGCCCAAATTCTACAACTTTGGAGTAAATAAGAGTTGGAAGAACGAATACTGGGGAGCAATTACAATCTTTCTTTCTTTCTTTTTTTTTTTTTTTTTTAAGAAATTTTATTGCTCAGAACCTTCCTTCCTTGGGCAAAGGCAGGTGCTTTGGAAACCAATCCTTGGGGCAGAGCCAGAGGCACTAGGTGGAGGAAAGAGTTTGGCAGCAATTACAATCTTGATCATACAAAACTGATGACAAATTATATTTAAAATAAAGTAGCCACCAGGCCCCCTGACAATCAGGTAATGAGTCCAAATGAAATATAGCATCTTCTTTTTACCTCATCATTTAAAAAATATATATATATTTTATTGATTTTTTTTTTTTTTTTTTTTTTTTTTTTTACAGAAAGGATGGGAGAGGGATAGAGAGTTAGAAACATCGATGAGAGAGAAACATTTATCAACTGTCTCCTGCACACTCCCCACTGGGGATGTGCCCGCAACCAAGGTACATGCCCTTGACCGGAATCAAACCGGGGACCCCTCAGTCCGCAGACCGACGCTCTACCAGTGAGCCAAACCGGCTTCGGCTTAGCAATCTCTTGTGATAACACAGTACTTATAATCAATTGTCATTCATGACTTGATCAGGTTTTGTACCTCTATTATTTCTAAATGGGACCCTCCATTACCTTCTTTAACCAAAAAAGCAGGAGACCAGGTGCAGGTACAGGAGGAAGACAGTGATGCTTAACCCCAGGGATCCAACCAGGAGGAACTGATGTGAAAAGATGGGGCAAAGAGATGGCCCTGGTGGGCCTGCATCAGAACCAGAAGTCCCGTTGGCTCTGTTCCCGGTCAAAGCCCCAACACCTGGGCTTGGGGGTAGGGTGGCGTGTCCTCCGTGGACACTCACTAACTCGGGAGTTAAAAACCGTCTTCCTGGCTCTCATGCGGGACGTCTTCATAGGCAGCGAGTCTTTTCTGTCTTTTGAGAGCCTGCCTTTGGAGCTGCCCAGGAAGGACCAACAGAGCTCTGGGGGAGCGAGGCTCTAAGCTGGGGGCCTGGCCAGGAAAGACGGGGAAGGAAAGAACGGTACTCCAGCCTCTGCCGGAGCCCCATCTTTCCTGCTGGGCCATCTCCCATGAGGATGGGCAAAGATAACCTCACCTTCACTTTCTAGGATAATATTCCAAGACATCGAATCCTTCTTCTTTGAGAGTCTCACTGCCATCCCTTCCCCCTCCCATTCTGCTTCTCCTTTTAGGAAACTGAGCCCAATTACCGAGTCCTGACGCGCATCCTTATCTCTAGAAGTGAGACGGACCTCCTGAGCATCAGAACCGAGTTCAGAAAGAAGTTTGGGAGGTCCCTCTACTCATCCCTGCAGGTGAGAGCTCCGCCCCTCCCTCCCTGCGGCAGGCACTCACTCCCTGCTCACCGCTGAGCATGTGCCCCAGAGAAGTGTGAGACTCTGGGCACCAGACACGTTCTGGATCGGCAGGAGGGAGGGGGCAGAGTCTAGGGCCACAGTGATGTAATTCTTCCTAATGTGTAATTCTCTCGTCTGCAGGACACCGTGAAAGGGGACTGCCGACCCGCCCTACTGGCCCTGTGCAGGGCCGAAGACCTTTGAGCCCCCCTTCCCCTCCCACCCCCACCTGACATTCAAGGATCTGAGTCCCGTGTTTGGCTGAGCCTGCAGGAGACTCCAAATAGGATAGCCCCTCCCTGAGCATTCCGTGTCCCCGCTTCTTGTGGAGGCTGGGACTCGGAGTTTCCTTTTAAATCCCTCCGTTTTCCTCATCCCAGAGTGGTCGCTGCACCTGGACTACCTGGTTCTGGCTCAGGTGTGGGTTAACGGGACCTCCCTGCCCTGCTGCTTCTTCCCATGGCCTGGGCAGAACGTCGCATCCACACTGGGAGTTTTTTGTTTTTAACTAATTTCATTCTTGTTTGTGTTCCCTGATTGAAGTTTGGGTGGAGCAGGACATGGGGCTGGGAGGAGGCCTTGACGTTGAAGTGCATTTGGTTATTCAACAGGAATCCTGTTTTTGGACTTGAGAGCTTTAGTTGTCAACAACCCCACTCCCTTAGGGTTTCTCTCCCCTCCACACACGCCCTCCCCCCATTATTCTCTCTTCCCCAGGAAATTTTAGGCAAAATAATTGAGAAACAGGAACCTGAGCAAGGTCAGAAATGGTCAGAGGTGGCAAAGGACCATCTGTGTAAAACTGGGGAGGCAAGCCGAGGATCAAGCTGCCTCTCGCCTGCCTGGGAAGTCTCTCGGGTTAGCAGGGGACACAGTCCCCAAATTCATCGGTCCGAAGGGGGACTTGGAAACCCACCTCCAAATTAGAGGTCTATTCCCTTAAGAAGGCCTATCAAAAACAAGAGAAACACACACCACAGAGGGAAACGCAGGCTCTGGTGCCCCCTGCTGGCTCATTTACAATAGATATGACAGGCAACCCCTTCACACCTCTACCCACTTTGCATTCCTCAGTTGGGTCAAATACTCAACCACTTGACCCCTTTGCTACCCGGTGAGGCAAACAACAGATCTCAGGAGACCATTTTTATTTCCAAACCCTTAGGAGGGCGTTACAAATAATGGAGATAGAAACCCAAACCAAATCCTGAAACAGAGGCGGACGGACCTGCGGGATGGCCCGAAGGACCCCACCCCGTCACGGGGGAGTTAGGGGAAGTGCAGTGTAGGCAGGGACACACACACCCCCCCCCCCCCCCCCAGCCTGAGTCTGTGTATTAGTGTGATATCCTGGGGAAAGGGGAGCTGGGGATCAGAAAGCCTCACCCCAGCGGCCCAGCCCTGGGTGACTGGGAGGAAGAGAAGGCCGCGGTGAGCGAGCAAGGACGTCACTGAGTCTGACCTTGACCTTTCCTTCCTGCTCGGACCCCCCAGCAGTCCATAAATAAGTTACCCTGCACATCTCAGGGGTTGACCTGGGGGAGCCAGCAAACTGGTCACGGCCTCGGAGAGAGGAGGCAGGGCGGCCGGCCCCGGGCACCGAGCCCTAGAGGAGGACGCAGTCGGACTCCGGCTTGGGCCTCCGCCGCCGCTCCCCGGCCGGGCGTCCCGAGGGCGCTCCTCTCCCCTGTACGGGATTAACAAGGGGTCACCCATCAGCCTGGGAAGAGCCCATGGACAGAGGTTCTAGATGGAAGGAGGCCACCCTGGGGAGAGGTGGGGGGGGGGAGGGAGAGGAAAGGACTCAGGGGAGAGGGCCAGCGAGGAGAAGGCCCCCCCAGGCACACCTTGAAGAGGCAATCGCAGGAATAGCAATAGCCGATCTCTGGGTGGGAGAAGCAGGGATGGGACCCTGGGGAGGTGGGAGCTTGGAGGAACCCCAAGCGCCAAGGACAGGGGCCGGCGGCTCACCTGTGGCGACGGGGCCCGCGCCGGCACCGGCTGGACCGCCTGCTGCTGCTGGTACTCCTCCTGCTGCAGCTGCTGGGCCAGCTCCAGGTCGCTGAGGCCCAGCGTGCCCTGTGGCTGCTGCTGCTGCTGCAGGGACAAGGCGATCAGGTAGTCCTGCGAGAGGGGAGAGGACAGGGCTGTGAGGTGGGCTGCGGGCTAGTGTTGGGTTCCCAAACCAGTTTTCCCTCCTCTTCCCACTTCTCCTGGTTCCTCCTCCTCCGGAGCAAACCACACAGCCAAGGACAGTCTCTGTGGGGCCAGAGAACAGCCACCCGGTGTGGCGATGGCCCCCACGTGGGGAACAGGAAGGGGACAGAGGTGCCATGTTCTCCTCGCTAGAGGATGCCAGGCAGGCAGCGCACAGGCCGGCAGAGGGGTCCCCGAAGCGCCGCACACCTGGTCCACCTGCCGCTGCTTCTCCGGGGAGCCGCCGCCCCCTTCGGCGCCCGGGCCCTTGCCCAGCGAGTGGCTCAGGTGGAAGTCGGCATCGCAGAAGCAGCTGTCTCCGTCCACGTTGTGCAGGCTCTCCCACACCACCTGCTCCTCCTGGAGGAAGCCCTGGTCGGTGACCAGCAGGTACAAGTGGCTCTGTGAGGAGGGGACGGAGTTCGTTAGCGGGACGGGGGATCCAGAGGCAGCGGACGGATGGCCCCACGTCACCGGAGACGCCCGGGGACCATTTGAACCGATGGGGGTGCCAGCCGGAACCTGTCGGTGTGAGCTGCGGGTCTCTCATCAGTCTGGGTGGCTGAGGGGAGAGGGAAGAGACGTTCGAGTGGACGGTCAGCTGGGTGAGAGCCTGGCCATCCCTGTGGTCAAGCATGGAGTCCTCAGAGCTGGGATCCTGCTTCCCATCCAGTGGTCGGCAAACTCAGTAGTCAGCAAAGCCAAATAGCAACAGGACAACGATCGAAATTTCTTTGGAGAGCCACATTTTTTTAACTTAAACTTCTAACGCCACTTCTTCAAAATAGACTCGCCCAGGCCGTGCATGGTGTTTTGTGGAAGAGCCACACCCAAGGGGCCAGAGCCACATGTGGCTCGCGAGCCGCAGTTTGCCGACCACGGCCCCCAGGCTCACCTGATGGCTGTGCGGGGAAACCCTTTGAGAACCAAGGACCGCTCCCTCTTCTACTCAGTTCCTAGAGAGCCAAAACAATTCCTGACGTGGGAAGACTTTGATACTGTTAAAAAATTCCCTTCCTGACTCTTTGCCATTGATGGCAGGCTCACTCCTATGGCTTGCTCTGGCCGGTGAGATGCTAGCATAGATGACACGTGTCAATCCCAGGCGGAAGCACTACCAGCCAGTGTGTGGGGTCCCTCCTGCATTCCAGGTGAAGACTGTTTGGTCAGCCCGAGACCCAGAGTGAAGATGAGCCCTGACCGGTGTGGCTCAGTGGATAGAGCGTCGGCCTGCGGATTGAGGGGTCCCAGGTTTGATTCTGGTCAAGGGCACATCCCCAATAAGGGGTGTGCAAGAGGCAGCTGATGGATGTTTTTCTCTCATCGATGTTTCTAACTCTCTATCCCTCTCCCTTCCTCTCAGTAAAAAAATCAATAAAATATATTTTAAAACAAACAACAAAAAAAAAAAACCAGAGTGAAGCTGAGGCGAGCAGTCTGCAGCGATAAACCTTGGTTGTAGGAGACCACGGGATTTCGGGGGTCATTTGTTATCAGAGCTTAACCCGCCCTGTCCAGACAGAAACACACCAGGAGAAACAGGCATGAGGAAACCAGCCAGCCCTCCCCCACCCGAGGCCTCACACCTTGTGCTTCGTCATGGTGCTGAAGTGGTTGTTTCGGAAAAAGACGCTAAGTTCGTCCTCCTTGGCGGCCGCGGTCAGCTCGCACAGTCCATGGTAGGTCAGCTGGGCCGCGGTGGTCTCCAGGAACTGCTCTGCGATCAGGCCTGCGGGGGACATAAAAGGCGGGGGTGGGGCCTTGGCTTCAATCCCAAGCCCACAGAAGGAGGACCAGCCAGAGAGTCCCTGTCCAAAGGCCTGGGGATGGTCCCACTTTCCGAAATCTCTTCCCTGAAGTCTGGCTGCAGTCATTCACTCATTCATTCATTCATTCAACACACAGTTGCTGAGCAGCTACCTCACTCCCGCCAGGCACTGCACTAGGGCAGTGGTCGGCAAACTCACTAGTCAACAGAGCTAAATATAAGCGGTACAACAATTGAGATTTCTTTTGAGCCCTGACCGGTTTGGCTCAGTGGATAGAGCGTCAGCCTGCGGACTGAAGGGTCCCAGGTTCGATTCCCGTCAAGGGCATGTACCTTGGTTGCAGGCACATGCCCAGTGGGAGGTGTGCAGGAGGCAGCTGATGGATGTTTCTCTCTCATTGATGTTTCTCTTTGTCTCTCTCCCTTCTTCTCTGTAAAAAATCAATAAAATATATATTTTTTAGATATCAATAAATAAAATAAAATAAATTTATTTTGAGAGCCGAAAACCTACTTCTGGGCATGGGCCACGAAGTTTCACTCGCAACCTGGGCATGTGCCCGCACATGGTATTTTGTGGAAGAGCCACCCTCAAGGGGCCAAAGAGCCGCATGTGGCTTGAGAGCCGCAGTTTGCCGACCACAGCACTAGGGGGACTAATGTGTTCCCCAAACTGGCTTTCTAGTGGGATGGGGGCTGTGGGGGGAGATAGACAACGAACAATAAATCCAAGTAGCCGTCGTACCTCCACGTCAGGCCCACAGAAGAGAAGGGGGGCTCACCTTCTGTCACCAGGTTGGTGTCGCTGGAGTGCTTGCAGGTGATGACCTTCTCTACCAGCTGATTGTAGCTCAGTTTCCCAACCGCACGCACAGCCTCGGGGCTCTGCACGGCCGTGGAGTGGGGTAATAAGAGAAAAAAAATTGAGATCTTTTTAGGAAGGAAATGAACTGCAACCCTAGGACCAAAGGTTCCTGAAACCTTTGCTGTCTCAATAACTGCCCACGATTTGCTTGTATTTGAATGTTACAAACAACTTTTTAAAGTTCAAGGAATTCTCCAGTGGGTCCTGCCTCTAAACCAGATTCCCTCCAAAGCCAATCTAATCCCTACACCCCTAGCCCCTACCTCGCTAACCCCCAGCCCACACAACGATGCTTCTCTGTGGCTTGGTGAGTCTGGGTAAGAGTCTCATCCGGGCCCTCCCAGCCTCACCTGAGGATCGACGAGCCAGCCGTGGTACAGAGGGACCCCCAGGAGGTCGAAGATGCTGCACTCCGGCGTGTACTCAAAGTCTGAGACCCCTGTGAACCGCACATTGACGTCCAGGCCAGTGGCCAGTTTAGGCAGCACGGTCATTGCGTCGTCCACATTCTGGGGGTAGAAAAAAAATTGGTGGTCATATTAAATAATGAACACATTGCATATCTTTATTGATTTTTTAAAATATACTTTATTGATTTTTTTTTTTTTTTTACAGAGAGGAAAGGAGAGGGATAGAGAGTTAGAAACATCGATGAGAGAGAAACATTGATCAGCTGCCTCCTGCACACTCTCCACTGGGGATGTGCCCGCAATCAAGGTACATGTCCTTGACGGGAATTGAACCTGGGACCTTTCAGTCTGCAGGCTGACGCTCTATCCACTGAGCCAAACCGGTTTCGGCTCTTTATTGATTTTTAAAAATATTTTTTAATTGACTTCAGAGAGGAAGGTGGGGGAAGACAGAGAGAGAGAGAGAGAGAGAGAGAAACATCAATGATGAGAGAGAATCATTGATAGGCTGCCTCCTGCATGCTCCCCACTGGGGGGATCAAGCCCGCAACCTGGGCTTGATCAGGAATTGAACTGTGACCTCCTGGTTCATAAGTCAATGCTCAATCAATGAGCCACACTGGTTGGGTGATTTTTATTTTTAGCGAGAGAAGAAGGAAGAGGGAGAGAGAAACATAAATGTAAGAGCAAAACATGGATTGGCTACCTACTGCATCTCTCCCCCCCCACCCCCAAGAAAACCCAGGAATTGAACCTGCAACCCTTCAGTGCCCAACCCACTGAGCCACCCAGCCAGGGCAGCACACTATGAAACTTACGTATCTCAATGAAGCTGGAGGGGGAGGGAGAGAACATGACTGGTTTTTTTTTTTTAAATATATTTTATTGATTTTGTACAGAGAGGAAGGGAGAGAGAGAGAGAGCTAAAAACATCGATGAGAGAGAGTCATCGACCAGCTGCCTCTTGCACACCCCCTACTGGGGATATGCCCGCAACCAAGGTACATGCCCTTGACCGGAATCGAACCCGGGACCTTTCAGTCCCCAAGCCGACGCGCTATCCATTGAGCCAAACGGTTTCGGCGAGAACATGACTGTCTAGCTCTTCCTCTCCTCCCCTCCATTTCAGCCCCACCCCCAAGAAGTAAAATATTTAATCTTGTTGCTTTTCTCCCCAGGTTCTCTCCCAAGCCATTCCGTTCCTCCCTCGCCTCAACCCTTCTTTATCTTAGGCAGATAAACTTGTTTTCTAGGACAGAGATTTACCTCCTCTTCCTCCTGCAGAAAAAAAGTCATAGTTCAAGGAAGGAACCCTCTTGAGAAGCAGCAGGAAGGCTGCACACCGCTTTGTCCGCAGACCTTTTCGCTCACCTGCTGAAAATTAAGCTGAAGTCCCTCCGACTTCTCCTGGGGCTTGATGGACAGGAGGCAGTCTCCTGCAAGACAGGATTCCTGGTCAGTCTCCCCCACCCATTGCCCTCAGAGCAGCTTCCTCTTCTCCTGAGAAAGGATGGAGGTAATGTCACCGAACCACTGGTTTCCAGAGCTGGAAAGGGCCTTGGATTCGAATCCTGACCTTTCATGCCCCAGAGGAGGAAATCAGCTCACAACGATGAAGGGCCTGCTATGGTTCGACTCCTCCACCCTCCCTGACCCATCAGAGCCCCGAATGAGTGGACGGTGCTTGTACTTCTGTGCGATTCCTCTTCGAGGCCCGGTCACTCACCGAGGTGGGCCATGAGCTCATCTGACGTGATCACTTCCTTCTGAGGGGGCAGCTTCACCTGGAGGCAGAGAGCGATCAGAGGGTCAGCATTGCTGCTTCCCCCCACAGGGCACCTCGGGAGCAGCCACGGGAGGGAGGGGGAGGACAGGGGCTGTCCGGCGGTAGGGTGTGGCGGAAAGAAAGCAGCTTACAATGCAAGCGAGGGAGTGAATGTGCAACACGGCAAGGCATGCCCATTTGCTAGAGAGTAGAAGATATAGGAGGACAGAGAACTGCCTTTTTTGTTCGTTTTTATGAACATCTTTCATTTGTTCAAGCTGGAGAAATAGGAAGAGTAATTTGAAAAGTTTTGACTGACTTGAGGAAATCAGGATGATCAAGGAAGTGGTTCAGGGAAGAGACCCCCCTCAGCATATTCTGAGCCCCTCCCCACCCTAACCCCGAACCCCTTTTACCTTCCACTGAAGGAAGAGGATGTTCATGATGGCGAGGAGCGGGCAGGGGCCGTTCGTGCTCTGGGTGATGATGGGCGTCCGCTCTCCCTTCCAGGGGATCCACTTCACACAGTAGAAATCCAGCTCCAGCTGCTGGGCCCTGGGGGACTGGGGGAGCTCCTGGGGCCCCGAGCTCGCACCCGCTGTCTCTGCCTCAGGCTGTGTCCTGGGGGCTGGCCCTGGCCAGTCTGAGCTAGTGTCAGGTGGAGGGGACTCAAGATTATCCTGGCCCTGGACTGGCAGTGACCCGTGATCTACCGGCTCCTGTCCTCCAGCCGCCCCATCAGCATCCCTGGCGGATCCGGTAGCATCTCCGGCCGCCCCATCAGCATCCCTGGCTGCTCCAGAAGCATCTCCGGCCGCCCCATCAGCATCCCTGGCTGCTCCAGAAGCATCTCCGGTCGCCCCATCAGCATCCCTGGCTGCTCCAGTAGCATTTCCGGCATCCTGGTCCCCGGGGTGCTCATCTGGTCCCTCTAGGACCTCGTGGTTTTCAGGACTGACTGCTTCTGCAGCCTTGGCCTTGCCAGAGACTGGACACTCAGGGGGTTGATGATTCTCCATGGTCAGAAGAGGCCAACTGAGGGGCACCAAAGGACTCTGCAGTCCGCAGGAAGTTGCCTAATCTAGGCTTGATGTGCAAAAGAAAGACCGATCCAGTGAGAAGGAAATCATTGGCCGGAAAGCAAATAGGCCCAGGAAGGTCTCGGATAAGGAGTGCGGCGTGGGAGGCGGGACAGTGTCTGCGGCCGCTCCGGGCTACGGAGCAGCGTCTGGGTCAGTCCGCGGGGTAAACAGGAGAGCGGCCCAGGCTGCACTCCTCCACCTCTAACTGGCTGGGACCAGAGTGCGCAGGGCTTTCCGGTCGGGGAGGGACGATTCCAGTGAGATGACTGAAGACATTGGGTGGAATCAGCTTCCCTGGAACAGATAAGGACAGGAATGCAGAAAAGACAGAGGAAAGGAGAAAGACCGAAGGGAAAGAGATGGAGAAGGAAATGTTAAAACTACAGTATCGGTGCCTAGCCAGTGTGATCAAAGTTAGAGCGTCAGCCCTCGTACCAAAGGGTTGCAGGTTCGATCCCCAGCCCCAGTCGGATTGGTCGCGTGCAGAAGACAACCAATAGATCTGTTGCTCTCACGTAGTGTGTTTCTCTCTCTCTCTCTCTCTCTCTCTCTCTCTCTCTCTCTCTCTCTCTCTCTCTCTCTGTCTCTCACCCCCCCCCCTCTCTCTCTCTCTCTTCTCTCCCTTCTCCTCCTCCTCCCTTCCTCTCTCTCTCCTCCTCTCTTCCTCTCTCTCTCCTTTTCTCCTTTGCTCCACCTCTCCCTCCCTCTCCCTGCCTCCCTTTCTCCCTTTCCTTCCCTTCCTTCCTTTCTCCCTCTCTCTCTGAAAATTAATGGAAAAAATATTCTCGGGTGAAGATTAACAACAAAACTAGATTAATGGTTATTAACACAGTGATCTTTAGTGCTCTCACCCTGTAGCAGGCATCACCTTGGTAGCTCCCAGCCTCTGCCCTACACCAAACCCCACCTTGGCTGTTCTTGGATGGTCATCCTGAGCACATACAATTAAATGTGTCTGAAGGTGCCCTTAGGACTGCCTTCTCTGCCTCATCCCAGGGGCGGCCAGGTGAACAGCCACATGGCGCTTGGGATGAAGAGTAGAGAGAGATGCAGAGCCAGAATCGTGCCCCTAAAGACGAAACGCGGCTGAGAAAGGAGTCCTCCTCCTCCAAGGGCTCCGCTGAACTTTACACAATCTCACACCAGAACAAAAAGGTCCTGGGAGGGGCTTCCTGTGGCCAGAGAGGGAAATGGAGGCCGTCGGGACGTGAACAGAGACTGTGTTGATAAATAACTTCAGGTTAGGAGTACAACCCTCACCCCCACCCCCCACTCCCCACCCCCAGCCCCGACAGCGCCCCCCATTTCTCCAGTAAGCTTCTCTGGAGGTGAGATGCCAACCTCTCACCAGCTCCTCTTTGCTTCCCAGCCTGTCTTAACCCAGAGATACTCTCTCGCCACTGTTTATACAGAATATAAAAATGATTATCGATTTACATACAAAGTACTCCCTCTACATTCATTCATGTGTGCGTGTGCTCCGTCTGTTCCCATCTAGGTCATTTTAGATGTGAGCGCTGGACCTGTTTTACCTGCTCTCTATCAGCATGAAGCATCAAGTTCGGCAGGAACAGACCTTTAATTAATGCTGTGGACCATAAACAATAAAAAGCCACAAACGGTGCCTTCTGGGAAACATGCTCGCCCTCACCCCTGACTCAGGGTAAAAAAAGGCGAGAAATGAAGCTTGTCCTGCTCGGTTAGAGCATGCTCCCAATATGTTACAGGGTTCGAGCCTCAGTCAGGGCACATACAAGAATCAACCAATGAATGCAAAATTAAGGGGAACAGCAAAGTGATGTTTAATCTATCTATCTCCCCATCTCTTGCTCTCCCTCCTCCCTTCCTCTTGCTCCCGAAACTCAATTTTAAAAATATATATATTTTATTGATTTTTTACAGAGAGGAAGAGAGAGGGATAGAGAGTTAGAAACATCGATGAGAGAGAATCATCGATCAGCTGCCTCTTGCACACCCCCTACTGGGGATGTGCCCGCAACCATGTTACATGCCCTTGACCGAAATCGAACCCGGGACCCTTCAGTCTGCAGGCTGACGCTCTATCCATTGAGCCAAACCAGTCTCGGCTCAATTTTTTTTTTTTAAAGCAAGAAATTAAACTTGTCAGAAATCTTCTCTTTGGCTTCTTCCTAATTTGAGACTATGCTTCCTTCGTCCAATCCTGCAGGAATTTAGGGTAAGGGTCAGTAAGGCCTGGGAGAGGAAGATGAGGAGCATAAAAGTTAAGGAAATAAGCCTAGTCACCCAAATTGATCATCCTCCTGACTCAAACAATTTATGCGAGCTGTCTCTCATCTGCATGTTGTTCATTTAGAATCAGAGCAGAAAAAAAAAAAAAATGCCTACAGGCCTGACACGTTGTTTCTCTCTCTCTCCTTTCCTCCCTCCCTTCCCAGATGACACTTGGCATGAGCCTGGGAAGCAGGAACCAGAGCCTGGGGAAGTTAAAACAGCTTGTAGGAAAGCTGTCCAGTGCCAGATCAATAATGACGTGGGGGTTGGGGCAGCTAGTTGGCGAAGGGGATGAGCCCAAACAAACAGGAGCTGGACACCGGGGCCAGCTGGGCCACGGACAAACTGGGCAAAGCAAAGTGGGCTCAGCCTTACGGGGTGGGGCAGGAAGTGGAGTGGAGCATTTCCACTCGGTGCGGTGGGTGCACACCTGGTGGGGTGAGCATGGAGGGTTTCAGAGCAGGGAAGGATGGGGGCACGGGGGAGGGGAGTGTACCCAAACAAATCAGGATTCCATTCTTTCCCTCTTTTCTCCATTCAAGCTCTCTCCCCAGCAGGAATTCTCTTCTGGCTGTGGGTGAGGGAGTTAAAATAGCCCTGGCCCCTCCCTAGCAGTGGCAGTCAGTAGCCAAAAGTTGGAAGAAGCCTATATAACACAGGTAGAGGGAGCTTCAGTAAGCCATGCACCCTCCTACCCCATTCCAGGAATGTCCCCCTCTCCCTGCGTGTGTCCACTCTGGTATCCTTCTCAGCCTGACCCAAATCTTCAAGCCACGAAGGGTTTAAAATTTCCCCTCTGAGTAAGTCAGCCACCACCACGGTGCGTGCTCGCAATGGAGCGGGGGGAGGGGGGGGAGGTCTCATTAAAAGAAAAATATAAGGAACCAAGCAGCATCCCTTTGACATGTTCTGCCTGCCTTCCTCCTCTTCCAATCCAGACCTGTAGAGACCAGGGGTGGAGGGACAGTCAGTGTCCCCTCCCCGGAGCCGGAGAGGGAGAAGAGCACTGGGAGTAGAAGAGGAGGTGAAAGACGGGGACAAAACAAAGTTTTTACCTTCAAGAAGGCTGTTCCCGGACGGAGAAGGAGGGCTCAGCTCCGACAATTCGATGGGGCGCCGCCACCGTCCCAGCTGCCTTCCCAGCTGTCAACGCCACAGCTTATCCAGGTTTACGAGCAGCGGCCGTCCTGCTGGGTCCTGGCCACTTCCGGACCCACGCCCAGGTCCCACGGGAGGAGGGTGCAAGCAGGTAGGGGTGCAGCCCAGGTGCTCCTCTGTGGCTCCAAGCGTGTCTTCAGGATTCCCGAGTTGCCGAATCCCCGATGAGCGATTCGGGCCCTGACTCCAAGCCGGTTTTCAAAGGGAAGTTTGAGGTTTTTCTTTTTCCGTCCTTCTCTCTTTTCTTCCCATCGGGACAAAGAAAAATTAGTCAAGGGCAGGCTCCTTGGAGGAGGAGGGGCCTGCCCAGCACCGGAGGGTTTCCATCAGGGCTTTCCGACCTGGTCAGCAGCGTGGTGATCAGCAGCGAGAGAGAGAGAAACAAGGAGAGAAAAACAACAGACCCTTTCTCTTGCCTCCGCCTGCCTCTGGAAGGACGGAGCGCTTGTGCCTCTCTGGTGAGAAGAGGGAAGAGCAGTGCCCTCGCTGAGCGGGGAGGAGCAGGGCTGGACAGCAGCAGCGTGCTGGGTGTGGGCTTTCTCCCCCGGCGAAGCAGTCCTTTGCTCTGGATCCACAGAAGCAGTGCCAAAGAGCAAGCTATTTGCATGTTCTGTCATTTAAATGTTTAAAAATGCTGCTCCTTTCCAAGTCCTCCCTCTGTCAGTCGCCTTTGCAGTCTGGAAATGAAACTGGCTGGGCTGTGCCCCCGGTGGTGCCGGAGACAAGCCGGTGTGGAAGAACGCCCAGGCCCTGGGGAGAAGATTGCAGCAGAGAGAGAACCTGCTGAGCGAGCAGGCGATCCAGTGTCCCTGGGCTCTGTTCCTGGTTCCCAACACAGGCCTCCACTCACCCCAGGCACCTCCTCTCCCTTCCTCGCTTGGGGAGCAGGAGAGTCGGTGTCAGTCTGGAGGCAGGAGATAAAGGGATGGATTAAGAAACGAGAGAACATCCGATGATGAGAACACATTTATGTGCAGCGCTTTGCACTGCTGTGGGGCTGGAAGGTGGCAGTTAAAGGAGGTTGGGGACCGAACTCTACATTCATTCTGAAGGGTCCTCCAAACTCTACCTACAGGGTTGCCATATAGGTTATAGGATGAAATGTCAAGCAACTCTGAAGGCTGAAAGGGCAGTTGGCACAATTAGGGAGGCAGGGAACAAATAACACAGGTTACAACGGTTCAGGAAAAAGAATGAGGAGACATTTCAGAGACGATTAAAAATAGGCCCCAGTGTTGTAAAGAGAGAAGCAGCAGGAGTTGGCAAGAAATTATAAGTATTAAGAAGAGGGTCCAACGATTATTCTAATGCTTTTGTAAAATGGACCATCACAAAGTTGGTGACAATGGGTCCGTTTGCTAAAGGGAGAGAATTCGAGAAAGGAAGACGAAGAAGAGCTGTTTTGCCACGTGTAATTTAAGATGTCAACCGGAGGCTCGGTGTAATAGATGGAAAGATATACTATTCTTAGTTTGACTCGAAAGGGAAGTTCAGATGTCACAAAGATAGGTTACCGTGGCTCATGTACGTTGTGTGCCAAACGAGTGATCTCAGAAAAATTCTCCTTCCCTCAATTCTTAGGGCCATTTCGGAGCTTCTGGACTACATTTCCCAAGACGCCCCGCGCCAGGCCCCGCTGGGCGCCGCCGGAAAGGTGTCCTGTGAGACTCCGAGCGTAGAACTCCGCCTCTGCCGCTTGGGGGGCGGGGCGACGTCGGACTCTCGGAGCATCCGATGACGCACTTCCTCCCGGCGCTGGGGGCCGAATCGCCGTATGGCGAGTTCGAGTCCCGCCTCCTGACTCTCGCCACTTAATCCCCGAGTCCGGGGCGGGGCGCATTCGCCCAGTAACCTCTCCACAGCAAGGGGCGGTGGCACACGTTGTTGGGCTTCACCATGGAGGACTACCTGCAGGGTTGTCGAGCTGCTCTGCAGGTAACGGACCCCTGGCTGTGATCGTAGGGAACGGAACATGGGGTCTAGGAGGGAGGACGGAGATGTGGGGTCTGAGGAGGGTCTCTGTGGAAGGAACGGGGAATGGTGGGGTGGGGACTGCTTGGGGCCTGAGCAGTGGTCAGTGAGAATCTAGTCTTGGGTGTGGAAATGGTGCCCAGGCTCCCGGTTTTTGACCCCCTGCTTCTAGGGTCCACCCGAGAGCGGGAAGGAGAAATCATGGGTCTGGTCCTGTGTCTGAGCTACTGAACGCGGCCGCCTGGGTCAGTGCCGTCAAAGGGTCCAGGGCTGTGCCGCCGCCAGGGGTGCCCCCGAGATGCTCCTTGTCCCCGTTGAACCCTTCCGTTCTACGGTGACCAGGCCTCCTTGGCCCCCTGGCCTCCAGGTGAACCTGTGCTCATGGCTTTATTGCCTTGGAAGGGCGGGTTCTTGCTGGCACTCCTGACTCGTCCTAGAGGCGAGGTGGTCGTGGGGGGGTTTCTGTTTTTAAGATAAACATACACAATATATCTCTGTGGACCAGCCACCTGCTTGCATCCCTTTGCCTCCAGTTTTCTTCTTCCTTGGCCTGAAGGCACACAGATTACATTAAAAAAAAAAAAAAAAACCGCCTGGGAGATAAGCACCAAGTGTGTTTGGAATCAAAACTATAAGCATGACTTGAATGCTTTGTGGCTTATTTTGGGTACGCTCTGAGCCGGCTGGAATCTCCCAGCCCTGCAGCATTAGGCTGCTCCCCCCAGTTAGCAGCAAAAGCTGGCCAGAGAGAGGCTCCAGGAGGTCACTTGGACCCCTTACTTGAAGCTACACCCCCCCTGTAGAAACCTAGACAGAAGGTTGACTGTTGCTTCCCTTTCTTCAGTATCTTTAGATCTGAAAAGACCCCTGAGCGTTAGATTCTGGTCTTTAACAGAACCTAAAAGTCACCTCATTCCTGGTATAAATGGATGTCCTTACCTGAAGAATAGGAGTGAAGTTTAATTTGAACACCGATTAAACTTGTGAAATACAATTTTGGGGGAAGTTGTTCTAATGCAAATTTGAATCAATTCATTTTGGTTACTTCCAATTTCCATCACTGACCTAGAACCTTTGTGGCTCTGTTCTGAGTGCTGAGCGGTTGTATTCCCATCTCCCCACACTGCTCCCCCTGCAATAACCCATATCCTGTTGGTAAAGAGCCCTTGGAATTGAAACCTCACCAAGTAGCGTTTCATTGCGTGCTTCTATTACTACAGCATCTACTCTCCAGATCATCCCTTCCCCTTCCAGATTATCAGTATATCCTCTACAGCGGCATGAAGCTGGAAATAACTGAATTTTTCTAATGTTACTGGTATCCTGACCTTATCTGCCTGCAGTCATCCCTCAAGGAGCAAGACCTAGATCTTAATTTTTTCCTTGAACTTGGGAAGGTGAGGTTGTGTCTTAGTGCTCTCATCATCACACAGCCTTGCCTGGGCCAGGAGAAATGAGAAAATTAGACTAGAAAAATGAGTGGATGATGAACTAGGGTCAGTTATATCAGGTGGACACCAGTAGCTTGGATTGCTTTTAATTACAGAATTTGTACCTTGTGAATATTTTAAAATACAATATGGATACGAAATGAAAAAGATCTTTTTTCTTCTCCCCATGTAATTCCCCAGAGGCTGCCCTTGTTTCTTACGTAAAGAAAGTATGAGTTAACCCTGGCCCGTGTGGCTCAGTTGGTTGGAGGGTCGCCCGTACACCAAAAGGTGGCAGGTTCAATTCCTGGTCAGGGCACGAACCCAGGTTGCGGGCTCGATCCCAGGTCAAGGAGCATGCAGGAGGCAACCCATCGATGTTTCTCTCCCTCCCTCCCTCTCTCAGAAATCCATAAAAATCTTTAAAAGTAAAAACAAAATATGATTTAGAGACACTTAAACTATAGTTTAACTTTTAGGGAATTGTGAATGCTTACTTTTACGTAATATAGCAGTGGCTGATAACGCAGAGGACTCTCTTGTTGATACCATTTTTTTTAGCATTCGATACCAGAGGGATTTTCTACAGTCTCTGCCACAATGGCAGTCGTGTGCTCCCTGTAGAAGAAATCCCCACTCCTGCCAAGTGGGGAAACATTTCTGCTTCAGGGTGGGGCTGCATTCGAGGTTAGGTGTTCAGCCAGCAGCCTGCGGGGAATCTGTGTTGTCTGTGCTTCTCCGGCATGAGGCAGGAACCGGGAGAGGCTGGCTCTCCTTAGGAATTTATAGTCCTGGCACCAGAACTAGTCCCGTCTTCTCTGCTGGGAGGGCTTCTCTATCTCTGCCTCCTAATCTCCCCCACCCCTAACCTCCCCCCATCCCTCATTGGCTATTTTGTGGAGTAGGCATCAGACCATATTCAGCTTCAGAAGGGGAGTGTTTTGCTTTGCCAGCCCTGGAACCCATCTCTCTCCCCGCACTGAGGCCACAGCCGATGTCAGGATATAACATTTCAGTAGTGGGTTTTTGTGTGTGACTTGTTTTTAAGAAGAAGAAAAAAAGTTTATATTTACTTGTGGCTCTCAGATTGTGTTTCCTCCATTGGCAGCTTAGGTTTCCTCATGCTCTAAGTATAGCCATGTTTGCTCTGAACGCTCCCCCACCGCAGGCAGAAAACGGAGGCTGTCCGGCTGGTGTGACAGCTGCTGGGGCTGGGGGTGAGGATAAGAGTTGCACGTGTTGGTGTTTTTTTTTGTTTTGTTTTTTCTAAATGAGGAGGAGAATGTTGCTTTATAAGTTGGGCTGCCATACACCTGCTCTGCCCAGGACAGTCTTAGTTTATTCTGACGTAATCATTCATTGCAACCCCCTTTCCTCTTAAAAAAAAAAAAAAAAAAAAGTGTCCCGGTTTGAACGACAAAGTATATGGTCACCTAGCTTGTAAGCTGTGTCGGGGGTTTGGGGTATATCCATGAAAAGGTGGTGAGTCCATGTGAGAGCCTCCCGTTGGGGTGTGTGTGTGTGTGTGTGTGTGTTAAAGGAAGAGGAGTGCTCGGCCTGGGTGTCGGAAATGCCTCATGGAGAGAGGGGGTGTGCAGAGGGCCTGACGGACAGGGCGGGGCAGAGGAGGAGATGGAGGAGAGCTCCTCTTTACCGCGACAGACTGGGCACTTAATGTGTTGTCTCATTTAATGCTCATTTCCACTTCATGGAACTGATCACAGGATTCTCTTAATTTTTATTTTATTTTTTAAAAATATATTTTATTGATTTTTTTTTTTTTTGAGAGAGAAAGGGAGAGGGATAGAGAGTTAGAAACATCCATGAGAGAGAAACATCGATCAGCTGCCTCCTGCACACCCCCCACTGGGGATGTGCCCACAACCAAGGTACATGCCCTTGACCGGAATCGAACCCGGGACCCTTCAGTCCAGACACCGATGCTCTATCCACTGAGCCAAACCAGTCAGGGCTATCATCTTAATTTTTAAAATGAAAACAGCGAGGCTTAGGGAGGCCAGGGTCCCACCGCAAGTAAGAAAAGCAGAGCTGAGTGAGATTCAACCCGTCTGTGGTCTTTTCAAATGGCAGCTTGCTATTCCAGGCGGAGCAGAGCAAGTGGTGCAAAGGGCAGAGCTGGGAATGTGCACAGTGGTTTTCAGAGGCTAACAGACCAATCAGGCTGGGGCGAGGGGTGTTGACAGGGGAAAGGAAGCCACCCCCTCCCTTGGCCACTCCTGCTCCGAGATTAGCTACAAGTTCCAGAATATTCCTTTTGTATCAGTTCCTTTGGGGTGCTCTCTGAACTTGGCTGTGTGCAAGGGGTTGGTTATTCGTCTTCCTCTGGAAATCATTTTTCCTCACCTCGGCCATGATGTTGTATGTAGTCCCTGCTTTCTGCTTTGCTGCTTCGCCTTCTCTCCATCCTGAAGCTCTGACTGACCCTGATTCCTCTGCCTTTGTGTGTGTGTGTGTTTTGTTTTGTTTTTTTGTGTTTTTTTTTTTTTTACAGAAAGAAGGGAGAGGGATAGAGAGTTAGAAACAGATGAGAGAGAAACATCGATCAGCTGCCTCCTGCACACCTCCTCCTGGGGATGTGCCTGCAACCAAGGTACATGCCCTTCACCGGAATCGAACCTGGGACCTTTCAGTCTGCAGGCCTACGCTCTACCACTGAGCCAAACCAGTTAGGGCATGATTCCTCTGCCTCTGAAATGAAGCAGCAGAGGGCCTCTCTGCCCAGCAATGGGTGTTCCCTTTGCTCTGCCCCCCCTTTTTTTTTTTTTTTTTAAAGAGAGACATTGATGTGAGAGAGAAACATCTATCGGTTGCCTCCCATCATCCGTGCCCTGAACTGGGACTCGAACCCACAATCTTTTGTTGTTCAAGATGACACTCCCAACTCACTGAGCCTGAGCCGCCCGGCCAGGGCCCCTTGCTCTGCCTTTTCTCTGCTCCTCTTACGTTCTGTTCCAGGGCCAGGGCCATATGGCCGCTTGTGTTTATGTAGTTCCCTCAGAGAACACTGTGCCCCCCTGACCGGCCCAGTGAGCAGTTATCTGGGCCGCCACTTACCTCAAGTGCTTTGTTGTCACTCTGGGCCACTGCCATCTGGGCAGTTCTTGGTGTCCAGGGAACACAGGGGCCCTCTCTGGTGTCAGGAGGAGGGATCACAAGTCAGAAAAGTTCCTCTAGCACTGGGCTAGGATTCTCATATCGTGTTGGGAAAGAGTGTGATATTGAAAAGACTCTGCCATGCTGTTTGGCATGAATGGGCCTTGGCTGCCACGCTGGTGAATTAGGCTTAAATAAATGGGCACAGGAGAGACTCTGAGGCAAACTTTCCCCAGACACCCTGTGCCCAAAATCTTGACAGATGATCCCATGCCTTTTGTACTTCTCACTAGGGTTGGGAATAGGAGGTGGGAAAGAGGGTAGTTTAAAAACAGAAACTTGCCGAAACTGGCTTGGCTCAGTGCATAGAGCGTTGGCCTGTAGACTGAAAGGTCCCAGGTTCGATTCCGGTCAAGGGCATGTACCTTGGTTGCGGGCACAGCCCCAGTGGCACATCTCCCTTCCTCTCTGTGAAAAAGCAATAAAATATATTTTTAAAAAATAAAAATAAAATAAAAACAGGAACTTAGTTACAAGATCAATTTATACCACCAGAAGTTTTCTAAAATGGTCTCTTTCTGGGAGAATGGTGTGGAGGGGTGTGTGTGTGGGGGGGGTGGTGGTGGTGGTGGTAATAGCCAATACAGGGAAGATGACTTGATTGCAGGCACATCCCCGGTGGGGGGTGTGCAAGAGGCAGCTGATCGATGATTCTCTCTTATTGATGTCTCTAACTCTCTATCCCTCTTTCTTTCTCTCTGTGAAAAATCAATAAAATATATTAAAAAAAAAAAAAAAAAAGATCAACCTGCTCACCTCCTCGGTGGGAATCAGAGAGAGGATGTGTGTAAGCCCTACATGCGTGTAAGGCAAATGGAGACGAGTAGATGCTTCTGCTAGTTTCCCATTCTCCTTCCAGGAGTCCCAGCCGCTGCATGTCGTGCTGGGAAATGAAGCCTGTGACTTGGACTCCATGGTGTCCGCTCTCGCCTTGGCTTTTTATCTGGCAAAGGTGAGTACTTAGGAACAGAATCTCTTAGAATGAAAAGATTTGGATTCAAGATTCAGCTCTGCTGCTTAACACCATCTAGTCTTGGGTAAGTTAAATCCCTTAACTTTTCCGAGTCTCGTGTCGCCATCTGTAAAGCCTGAAATAATGTCGGTGTTGGTATGAGGATCCAATGAGTAAATGTATGTTGAAGAATGTGTACACAGGGAGCATTTGAGATCTTGCTTCCTGGCAGTTGTCATCCGTTTGGCTCAAACTCATAAAATTTCAAAAATAGAATGTGTAAACCATAAAATATTCCAACAGTTGATTATTGAGCAACGTGGGTATCCATGATCTAATGAGTATGCCTCAAGTCCATGTCAGCTCTTGAAGACTGATAATCCCTTCTCTGCAGCATCTAGAACTAGCTCTTTTTCATGAGTTTTCTTGTGTGTGTGTTTTTTTAAAATACATTTTTATTGATTTCAGAGGGGAAGGAAGGAGAGATAGAAGTATCCATTATGAGAGAGAATCATGGATTGGCTGCCTCCCACAAGCCTCCCACTGGGAACCCACAACCCAGGCATGTGCCCTTGACCGGAATCAAACCCGGGACCCCCCAGTTTGCAGGCTGATGCTCTATCCACTGAGCCAAACCAGCTAGGGCATGAGTTTTCTTGTTGACCTTCATGTTACTGCTAAATATGAGAAAGGGTAAGGATTGTCCTTTTATTTTTATTGACTTGGTGTTTTGGCTTTGAGAAGGGTAGTAAGTCACCCAAAATCATGTCTTCCTTGGTCCCAGTTGTCTTGTGATTTTTCCTGTCTGTTCCACAACATTGCCATACCTTCTTTCCACTCTCTTCTCCAGACTACTGAGACTGAGGATGTCTTTGTTCCAGTTTTAAATATAAAACGTTCTGAGCTACCTCTACGAGGTGACAGCGTCTTCCTCCTTCAGGAGGTTCACATTCCAGAGTCCCTCTTAATCTTCCGGGATGAGATCGACCTCCACGCGCTGCACCAGGCTGGCCAACTCACCCTAATCCTTGTAGACCACCACGTCTTACCCAGGTATGTGGAAGGACGTTAAGCTGATACTTAATCACGTGCCATGTTGAGCTCTGATGAGTAAGATATAAAGAGAGGAAGAATTTTTGCTCTTGGGAATATCACATGCTAATGGTAATTGATGGGTCCTAGTTAATATAGAAAATATTATCGCTTCTCCAGTTTTGCAAGTAGAAACTTGGAGAATTCAAACTAAAAGATAACTAGAAATTATTTAAATATGCCTTTGGTATTATATTTTAAGATTTCATGGCAGATTTATTATAATAGAAGCTTTTGAATAATGATTCCAACTCTTTTTAATTTTTAAAAAGTTAGCAAAATTATTTCCTACATAAGACAGTATCTTATTAGTGTCTTTAATAAAGGTACACACCTATAATAATTCCATCCCTAACTTAAGACTGCAAAAAACTGCCAACAAAGCCACATAAGTAAGTCTGTCTGGCTCCTGCTAGTATTAAAATGTGTGTTATTTCCTTGAGCACACTGGTTCTAGCAGGACATTGACAGAGGGCAGCCTCAGGGCATCGATCCAGCTGTCCATTCACTCATCAGAAAACTTCTGTGTAGAGGATGCGGGTGAGACAGAGTCCCTGTTTCAAGAGCTTTCAGTCAGGAAGCAGGAACTGGGCAAACTGGTCATTGTAATGGGCTTGATAGTAGGGGATAACCATTAGGAGACAGTAGGTGCAGGAAGGATGGAGAGGTTAAATGTACTAGAAGGGAGTAGAGCGTGTCAGGAAAGGTTTCCTAACAGAGGTAACCCTGTATCTCAGTCTTGAAAGAGAACTAGCTGTTTACTTGGGAAATGGGGAGGTAAGGTCGTGAGGAAAAGCATCCAGGCAGAGAGAGTGATTAATGTAAGCAAAGACAGGCAGGCATGAACTAGCCTGGTGAGTCGGGGGAAATGGAATGTGTTTTGCATGGCTGGAGCATAAAATACGAGTGAGAAATAAGACATGGAAAAAAGGTAAGACTAGAGAGGTAGACAGGCCAGATGATGGAAATCCTGCGAAAGAGATTAGACTTTATTTTAGGGCTATGGGAAACTGTTGTTAATTATATTTATTCAGGGTCCTAACAGAATCAGATTTGCACATTCAGGCAGCATTGTGGAAGACAGCTTAGGAAGGCCTAAGATTGAAAGCAGGTGTGTGGTTAGGAAACTATTGGAATCATCCAGATGAGAGATATTGAGGGTCTAGAATAAGGCAGTAGCAGAGGGGTGGAAAGGAAGGAATAAATAGAAATTGAGATAGAAGCCACAGGATCTGGTGATGTGCATGGAATTTGGATATTAAGGGAATTGAGGGGACAGGAGCGATTTAGATGTTGGGTATCAAGGGTGTCAACTGGAAAGGCAACCTCAGAGGACATCAAATATGTGGATAAGGTATTCGTAGCAGACACTTTGCCAAAATCACGTATACACTATTTAAAGATGACTTCCGTTATCTTTACATTATCTAACATTAAAGGAAAGAATTGGAAGGAGTGAGGCAGAGGTCTAAGCGACCAGAGGTCTAAGTGTTTACCTACGACGTCTGCATTTTCCTTCATGAGTGAAGTGGAGATCGGTTCGAAGCAGCTGGAGTACTCCTGCCTACCTTTGTTTCTCTTTTTCCTACCCCGCCTTTCCCCACACAGAAGTGACGCAGCCCTAGAGGAGGCAGTGGCAGAGGTGCTAGACCATCGGCCCATAGACCAGAAGCACTGCCCTCCCTGCCATGTTTCCGTTGAGCTGGTGGGGTCCTGCACTACCTTGGTGACCGAGAGGATCCTGCAGGGGGCACCAGAGATCTTGGACAGGCAAACTGCAGCCCTTCTGCATGGTGAGGGCGGCTTGGTTGGGGCCTGACTCGGTAGTTCCTCCATTTCTACCCCAGAGAAGAAACAGTTGAAAAGTCTAGATTCTTCCAGCTTGATATACCCTCTCAGAGCCATTCAGCCCACACTGAAGGCTGGGATTCTTTCAGGGGGGCAATTAGGTATTGAAAGGCTGTGGGTTACCTTGTTGGGGAATGCAGAAGGGAAGCAGGGAATAGTAGACCTAGAAGCTGCCTCAGCAGCACCATAAAATGAAAAGAGGTGCCACAGAAGCAGGAGACAATTCCAATATCGTTTCTGCCCATTTGTGACCTTGAGCAAATCTCTTAACCTTCCTTGTTCTCTTTTTCTTTATTTGGAAAAAAAAGAAAGAGAAAAAAGAGAGAGAATTGGCTTAGACTGTCTTTACTGGTCCCTGGCTGGTGTGACTCAGTGGTAGAGCATCGGCCATGGACCAGAGTCTCGGGTTTGATTCCCAGTCAAGGGCATATACCTGGATTGCAGGCTCATTCCCTAGCCTTTTTAGGGTATGTGCTGGAGCAACCAATCAATGTGTCTCTCTCATGTCAATCCTTTGCTCTCGTTCTCTTTTCTGCCTCCATCCCTTCCACTCTCTCTCTTTCTGAAAATTAATGGAGAAAATATTCTCAGGTGAGGATTAACAACAACAAAAAAGATTCTTTACTAGAATTGGGCCTACAGAGGAGAGGTCATCTTTCTCTTACTAGGTCTCACAATCTCCAAGAATTGTGACGCTCGGTCTTTCTTTCTACTGTTTCCCCATTTCCCTGCCTGCATTTTAGTTTGGATTTGAGAGGTCTTACTCGGGCATAACCCTGAGTTTGCATACAGTCCCCTCTGTATTGCGACCATTTGGTTGGAGGGTTAGGTGTGTTTCCATAGTCATACATGGAGGGCCACAAGATTTGAGTTCTGTCATCTTCCTTTCCCACAGCAACAATCATCCTGGACTGTGTCAACATGGACCTTAAAATTGGAAGAGCAACCCCAAAGGACCACAAATATGTGGAGAAGCTGGAGGCCCTCTTTACAGACCTGCCCAAGAGAAATGACATCTTCGATTCTCTGCAAAAGGCGAAGTTTGATGTGTCGGGTATGAGTGTTAAACTGACTTCTCTCCCTCCTATGTGAGAAAACATCATCACAACAGTGTCAGAGCATGGGTTATGGTTTGAGCTTTGGAGATAAGTGAGGTAGCATGTGAGTCTGATCGGGAACTAATTAGTCATTTACTGGATTGTTCTGACTGGGCTATCGGGGAAGATAGGAAGAATATACTAAAGTCTCAGAGGTTTTCATTCTAATCAGAGAATATAGACTTATAAATAAAATATACTAAGTTGTCAGTGTGAGATCTAGATAATGGGTTAGGGAAGCAGAAGAAACAGGGTGAATATACCAAGGACAAAGGAAGAGAACAAAAATCTTACATAATTTTCCACCCAGCTACCTCCCGATAAAAAAGTAAATAAATCGCCCTGGCCAGTTTGGCTCAGTGGACAGAGTGTCAACCTGGGAAGGTTCCCGGGTTCAATTCCAGTCAAGGGCACATGCCCAGGTTGTGGGCTCGGTCTCCAGTAGGGGGCGTGCAGGAGCCAGCCAATCAGTGGTTCTCTCTCATCATCCTATATAATAAAAGCGTCGGCTTGGGGACTGAAGGGTCCCAGGTTCAATTCCGGTCAAGGGCATGTACCTTGGTTGCGGGCATATCCCCTGTAGGGGGTGTGCAAGAGGCAGCTGATCGATGACTCTCTCATCGATGTTTCTATCTCTCTCCCTACCTCTGTACAAAATCAATAAAATATATATATTTTTAAAACCTAATATGCAAATCAGCAGAATAACCAGGCACTATAATGGGCCCTGACCACCAGGGGGCAGATGCTCAATGCAGAAGCTGCCCGCAGGTCCCAAAGGAGGGTGCCAGTGGGGGCCCTCTATCGCCCTGCCAGTCACCCCACAGATGGTCCCTGATCGCCAGCCAGGCCTAAGGACCCTCCCTGTTCACAAATTTCATGCTCCAGGCCTCTAGTTGAAAATAAAGTACTACATGTACCTTTCTCTCCATGTCCCTTGCTCTAAAGGTAACTTGTGACGCAGTAATTGAAGCTAATTTTTTTCATATAATTACATTTTCAGTTAGCCCTTTTAATTGCCCAAAAGAAAGGCTGTGTTTTTCCTCTCCCATGACCTACCTCGGTGTCTTCCTCTTCCTAGTCTTGGGACCCTGGGCTCTCATTTGTTTATTTTATTTTTTTAAGAGAAATGGAAGCTTTTTATTTTATTTTTAATTTTTTAATTTTTTAAAATAATATATTTTATTGATTTTTTACAGAGAGGAAGGGAGATAGCAAGTTAGAAACATTGATGAGAGAGAGTTATCGATCCCAGTAGTGGGTGTACTGGGGATATGCCCAAACCCGGGACCCTTCAGTCCGCAGGCTGACGTTCTATCCACTGAGCCAAACTGGTTTCGGCTGGGCTCTCATTTTTGACTCCTATTCTCACACCTACTTTCTAGGCCTGACCACTGAGCAGATGCTGAGAAAGGACCAGAAGACCATTTTCAGACAAGGCATCAAGGTGGCCATTAGTGCAATATATATGGATCTGGAGGTAAGAGCAAGATGTAGGAGTAGGTGGGAAAAGAAAACCTTCAGTTATGTGGATAACCTTGCCCCTCACTTCTGACTCTCCTCCACTTACCTTGTATCTATCCATGTCTCTCCAGCTCTGGTAACTCCCACAGTTCATTGTCTCTCACTGTTCTACTGTACTCGCCCCCACAGTTTACCAGCCTCCACTTATGTCCCCCTACAAACCATTCTCTCCACAGCGGCCGGAGAGATGCCCCTAATAGGTAACTTAGATCCTATCACCCCCTTCCTTTACTGGCTTTTCATTGCACTGCTAATAAAATGCAAAGACCTCACTATGGTGTATAGGGCCCACCTTGGTTTGGCCCCGACTTTCTCTCTGATCTCACGCCAGCCCTGCTTCCCGCTCCCACCCCCCTCGCCTCCACGGCAAACCAGCACGGCAGCCATACTGGTTTTCTTTCTGTTCCTTGGAATCATTAAGTTCATTCCCAACTCAGAGCCTTTGTACTTGCTTTTCCCTTTGCATAGCTGGCTCCTTCATGTCCTCCAGGTCTTAGCTCAGGAATCTCTTTTAAGAGGTTTTTCCAGCCTGGCCGGCATGGCTCAGTGGTTGAGCATCAACCTCTGAACCAGAAAGTCACAGTTTGATTCCTTATCACAGCGTTTTTCAACCGCTGTTCCGCAGCACACTAGTGTGCCGCGAGATGTTGCCTGGTGTGCCGTAGGTGCAGGCAAGACAAGAATTTTATAATTTTTCACTATTTTGTTTACTTAATATTTCATAATAAAGTAATTATAAAATACTTTCTTTGTGTTTATTTGATTCCTATTCAAGAGAATTACTTTATATATAGTCAATATAGGCACAGAGTTAAATTTTTTAACATTTTCTAATGGTGGTGTGCCTCGTGATTTTTTTCATGAAACAAGTGTGCCTTTGCCCAAAAAAAGGTTGAAAAACACTGCCTTATCAGGACACATGCCCGGGTTGCAGGCTGAATCCCCAGTAGGGGGCATGCAGGAGGCAGCTGATCAATGATTCTCTCTCATTGACGTTTCTATCTCTCTCCCCCTCTTCCTTTCTCAAATCAATAAAAAATACTTCTTTTTTTAGTGTTTTCCTGACCATCTTAACTGAAATAATATCCTTCCTGTTCAAAAATCTCTAATCGTTATCTTCTGTTTTCTTCACAGCACTCAACACACTGAAATAATCATAGTTCATGGTTTCCTTGTTTTATCGTCTATATTCCTCTGTTCGTTTATCAGCCCAGCCAGAGCAAGGGCCCTATTTCTTTTTTTCTTTTTTTAATATATTTTATTGATTTTTTACAGAGAGGAAGAGAGAGGAATAGAGAGTTAGAAACATCGATGAGAGAGAATCATAGATCAGCTGCCTCTTGCACACCCCCTACTGGGGATGTGAAGGGCCCTATTTCTTTTGTTTCTGCTATACCTGCAGCAGCTTTGACAGGGCCTGGCACAAAGTGGGTGCTCAGTAAATTTTGTTGAATGGGTAAATGAATGTAACTATGATAACGGTATTTTAATTCCTGGTTCCATATTATATTGGTTTAAGTCACTTGACAGCCTGATCTGAACCCATACTCACATAGTCTGCACAGCTTTCTACCAAATGCTATATAAAAATACTAAATAATCAAAACAAAACAGCATGACCTCTTCCCTTATGTCTCATCATCTAGTTTGGGAAACAAACAAAAGAATGCAAAAGGCTTCCCAAGGACCATAATCACAGTACAAATAGACACGTTAGAAATGCCAAGGATCGGAAACACCGTCATTTTTCAATTCGTAAAACAGTCATGCTTGGTAGATATTTTACCCTCATTTTATAGATGAGGAAACTTAAGTCCTGGGAGGTTAATATAATTCCTTAATCATTAGCTAATAAGTAATAGAGCTGATTTTCAGATCAGTTCTGTCTGAGCCCAAAACCTGTATTCTCCCCATTGTACATACTGCCTCCGAGCACATAGACAGCAGAGTACACACCAGGTACCTTACGGAGGACAAGCCCCAGGTTCACACGGGAAGAAACTCTTTGTAAGCATTTTTGTTGGTGGCAACAAGGGGTTCCAGCCCTCCCCCCTGCCCATCTCTTCTCTTCCAGGCCTTCCTGCAGAGGCCCGGCCTCGCGGCAGACCTCCATGCTTTCTGCCAGGCTCACAGCTATGATGCCCTGGTCGCCATGGCCATCTTGTTCAACGCGCACAACGAGCCCGTGCGGCAGCTGGCCGTCTTCTGTCCCCACGCAGCGCTCCGGATGACAGTGAGTCTGCCTCCTCCCCGCCCGAGGCTCCGCGGAGCTCTGCCCACAGGCTGCGCTGTGAAGGCCGCTCCTGGGTTCAGGCGTTTACACGCAGGTCCCCTAACCTGCTTCCAGAATCTCCCCTCCCACTTTTCCCATTCTGTGTCTAAGTGAATACCCTTCTTAATCATATTGTTGTTGAGAAAGAGAGATTCCAAAAACAGAGATGGAGTTCCTACTTAGAAGAGATCTGAAAACCGGGTTAAAAGTAAATGTAATGAGCCTGCAGTTCAACTCGATTCTTTGTTTAATCACGAACTCCTCACCCCTGAACATCAGTTCCTTTCTCCTGACCCGATTGTCCTGAAAGGTGGAAACAAAAGAGGAACTTTCTCTGCTACTTACCCTGCGGGGAGTGGTCACTGTAGCGCTGACTGTGGAGAAGGTCCGGGAGCAGGTTTGCTTTCTTGCCTGGTCTTCCATGTGGCCCCCTTTCCCAGCTCCTCCCCTTTCCTTTCCTCTTCTGGTTACTCATTAGCCCAGGGAATTTGAAAGTGGACCTCAGGCAGTCCAGGGCCTCTTTGGGTTGCTTGGGCTGGATGAGGACTGCTGAAGACCGGTCCGAGTGCAGCCGGATGATCCTTTGAGCCTGTAAGAGGCTGGTCCGCCCTTTCCCACACCTCTCTCTGCCTTTGTCTTCTCCTCGAGGAACAAGTGTGACTTCACTCAGTGGAGGGAGTTTGCGGAAAGACTACAGTGTTTAAAGCCCCAGATTTGCCATTTACTTTCTCTTTGAGCCAAAGCAAGTCAGTTGACTTCCGAGCCTGTAAAGAGCATAATATTACCTCCTAATTAGTCTGATGTGATCATTAAACATAACATATGAGCAGTACATTGCTGGGCACAGAGTAAACACTTGGGGAAAGGTGGCTCCTTTATGACTAATCATGTCATAAAGGGAAAGGTACTTTGGCCAGAAGAAGTGCCTCTCCCCACCTTCCTGTATCTCTCCCCTTCTCCCAGCCACAGCCCCTGGTGCTGCTCCCTGGAGCTGTGCTGGCACTGTCACGGCCGGGCTGCCTGGTGTGGGGAACGGGGCCTCTTCTCACCGTCAGCCCCGCCGTTTCCTCTCTCCCTCCTGTTTTAGGAACACGGTGATTCCGAACACCAGTTTTGGTGGCAGACCTAGGTTTTAGTGTCAGCTTTGCTTCATTCAAACTATGATGTTAGGAAGTCACTGAATCTGTCTACACCTTGGTTTCCTTATCTGTGAATGAGGATAATAGTAATACCAATCTTATAAAGCAATTGTGAGGATTAAATGAGGTTGTACAGTATTGACAAATGGCCAAATTTGGCACTATGCCTGGCATACCTCCCACCCTCACTTTGATCTACTCATTTTTTCTGCCTCAGTCCTTCCCCATACCTCAGTTGCAGTGCAGGCTCGATCCCCAACTCAATCAGGGCATGTGCAGGAGGCAGCCAATCAATGTGTCTCTCTCACATCAATGTTTCTCTCTCCCACTCCCTTGCACTCTCTAAAAATTAATGGGGGGAGGGTGGAAATCCTTGGGTGAGGATTAATTAAAAAATAAATAAAATACTATGTATATTAACTGATATGCCTTTTGTTGCAAGCAATACAGCTTAACTCTGAGTGATTAAAAAAAAAAACACACAAAAAAACACTTCTCCTCTGTAAGAGAAGCTCCCAACTTAGAAGCCTCAGCAATCTGCCTCCACAGTTTGCTTCACCACCTGGAATACCATTTCCCCATCTTGTCGCCTCTTTAGATCTGTGGAGTCCTGGAACGGTCCCACTCTCCGGCCCTGAAGCTGACCCCTGCCCCAAGCCCTCACCCTAACCTCCAAGCCTATCTTCAAGGCAACACCCAGGTCTCTCGAAAGAAACTCCTGCCTCTGCTCCAGGAAGCTCTGTCAGCATATTTTGACTCCATGACAATCCCTTCAGGGCGCCCTGAGACTGCCAGGGAGCAGGTGGACAAGGAGTCGGACAGGGCAGGCACCTCCCTGATCCCTGGACTGAGTCAAGATGAGGAGGAGCCTCCACTGCCTCCCACACCCATGAACAGCTTGGTGGACGAGTGCCCCCTGGATCAGGGACTGCCCAAACTCTCGGCCGAGGCCATCTTTGAGAAGTGCAGTCAGATCTCGCTGTCACAATCCACCGCGGCCTTCCTGTCCAAGAAGTGACTGTTGGGACGGGAGGGGGCGGAGGGAGGGGTTGCTTGAACCACCTCGAATGCATGTTTTGAGAGGCTTCAGAAATTCTGTCTTCATTGCTCCAGGGTCAGGTGCACTTGTCCTGTTCTCATAACTGGGAGGAGAAAGAAGTAAAAGAAAGCAGCTGCTTTAGGAATGGCTTTCTACCTTTCCCCCAATCTCTCCCAATCAGATTCTGTTATTTAATTTAATTCTTTAGATCTGCACTGACTCCCCAGGGGTACAACGTAACTCCTATGCTGTTCCAGCTGAGGGGCACAGAAAGAATGTGCGCCCCAACAGTGCCCTCGGCGAGGCTCCTTAACAGAACCAGTATCTCTCATGGAACCAAACATTCATTGTCTCCATGTTTGCATTTGTTCTCTCGTTGATTCAAGTATTGATGGATGCCTACTCTAAGCTAGGCAGAAGATAGAGTGCTTCAGAGACTCTTATTCCAGTTTTCAGCCGTTAGATCTCCAGCTTCATGACTCATGTCTGCCCCCAGTTAGGCAATGGTGTTTGATTCCGAGGCGGCTAAATTTTCTTCCTGAACTTATTGTGACTCCTTTAGGGTTGTTTGGGAGCAGGGTAGAGGCCATTCTGTTCTGCCCCGATCATGTGGCCTGGCTCTCAGTTTCTTTGGATCCTTTGTCCCAAAGCCACAGGGGGCCTGAAGGAACTCAGAAGACCCCTGAGCGTTCAGGCGACTCTCAGAAAGGCCTCGTGGCCACTCCTCCCAAAGGATAGCAGAATGGCCATGAGAGCTCAGCTCTGTCCCCAGCCTTAGCGGGTCTGTCAATCTCTTGTCCACGTCATTCTCTTGCTCTTATTACAAGGAAACAGGGAGTCCTGACATGGACCGCCACCAACTGTGTGTCTTTTGGTAAGACACTTCATCTCCAGGTCTCATGTTCCCCATCTATAAAACCAAGGATCTAGACTAGAGGTTCTGTTTTCCCTGGGAGTGCTCAGGGTCACTGGGTTGTCTGTATTTATATGTGATTGTACCAAGGGACTCGGCCTTGTGTAGCATGCGCAGGGGTCTGATTCTTGCCATAGTGATCCAACAGAGAGCCCCTCCCTCCCCCCGCCCTCTAACTGACTCGTTCTGCATGTGTAGTCCCCTTTTCTCTTCACACCTACCTGTTCGCCCTTGTCCTACCCCAAAGCTCTGTTCCATGTAAGTTGCCAACAGTTTCACTGAGTAGTGAGGTATGTGATGGTTTTGGCATGACGTCTTCATGTGAAGGGGACAACAGTGTGACTTCCCTTTGAGGGACAATGTGTGTAGCCGTTGAAAGATAAAAATAGTGGTGTGATTACTGAACCAAAGGAATTTATGTTTTGTAACTTGGGTACTTTATTTTGCATTTTGTTAAAGTATTAAATAATTTTTTTTTCCTGGTTGGGGTCTTCGTGTCTTTCTTTTTTATTTTTATTTTTTATTTTTATATATATTTTATTGATTTTGTACAGAGAGGAAGGGAGAGAGATAGAGAGTTAGAAACATCGATGAGAGAGAGTCATCAATTAGCTGCCTCTTGCACACCCCCTACTGGGGATATGCCCGCAACCAAGGTACATGCCCTTGACCGGAATCGAACCCGGGACCCTTCAGTCCCCAAGCCAACGCTCTATCCATTGAGCCAAACCGGTCTCGGCTTAGTGTCTCTTTTTACAACTCCAGTCAGGCTTTTCCATCAGGTAATTGTTTTAGCCTCCTCTCTTTTCTCCTTTCTTCCTGTTGTACTTCATACCTTCCTTCAGCTGACTCTTGTGGGGAATGAGGAGCAACAAACAGTCTCTTAGCGCTCCTCATCCTCAGCCTTTCCTTTCATTTGTTTCTTCTTTTAGAACCATCCTTATAATTCTGTGTCGCTGATTTTGCTTATGCTGTAAAAGGTGTAGGACCAAGATAGTCCTAAAACCAAAGTGGTTTTTACCATTGCCTTAACAACAACAACAACAAAAACCAAAACAAAACAAAACAAAAGCAGTTACCAGATTATAAGGAGTCTGGAAAGAAGAACGAATTGCCTTCCTAGAGCCCTTCATGACTGGCCATTTTAAAAAATGGACTCCGCCCTGGCTGGTGTGCTCAGTTGGTTGGAGCGTTCTATACACCAAAAGGTGGTGGGTTCGATTCCCAGTCAGGGCACTTACCTAGTTACAGGTTCAGTCTACAGTTGGGGCGCATACTGGAGGCAACCAATCGATACCTCTCTCTCCCTCTAAAAACATCAATTAAAAAAAGAAAAGAAAATGTACTCTCCTCCCCAAAGCCCGCCCCCACATAGGCATGGTTGTTCTTTTGGGCAAACCTGCTCATTGAGAAGGGAGGTGGCAAAACCTGTTTGAGAGTGAGGTTCCTCCCTTCCACACCTTCCTCCTCAGAGGCAAGACAACAAGAGCTGAGGCAGAGAAAGGGTAGAGAATTGGAGAGCTGGAGCAACCAATTCCCTGAAGACCCAGGTGTTTACAGAAGGGGTCAGATTGGTGAAGATGGGAACTATCCAAGAGGCAGGAGAAAAGACATTGGCTCTTGGGTAAGTAAACCTTCGCTAACTTGGTTGGAAATAAAAAGTGAATACTCTTAGGACTTTCCCCACCATCCAGCTGTAGGAATTAATCTATAGAGAATTGGCTTTGGGTGGGAAATGTGGTATGGTATGGGAACTGGTGAACAAGGAGGAGTCCAGGATAATTCCCTATTGTGTGTTTTTGTAAAGGAAGTGTATATTTTGTGTCTGATAAATATGCCCCTATTCTCTGTTGTTGTTTTTTAAGAAGAGAAAGTTTATTTTTTTAATATATTTTATTGATTTTTTACAGAGAGGAAGAGAGAGGGATAGAGAGCTAGAAACATCGATGAGGAGAAACATCAACCAGCTGCCTCCTGCACACCCCCCACCGGGGATGTACCCACAACCAAGGCACATGACCTTGACCAGAATTAAACCTAGGACCCTTCAGTCCACAGGCTGACGCTCTATCCACTGAGCCAAACCGGTGTCAGCTATTCTCTGTTTTCTAACCCCTATATTCCAGAATGGCTATCAGGAAAGCTGACCCAGAACTAAATTTGGGTTCTCCCCAGCAGATCTCTTCCTCCTTACCTTCTTCCCCACCCCTCCGCCTAGACCATGGTTTCCCCTGACCACTCCCCAGCATGGTGGAGGGAAGGCAGGCCTGCCTAGGTACCATCTTCCTGGACTTTGCCAAATGATAGCTGGGCAGGTCTGTCAGCTTCCAGCCAGTTGTCACGTGGAATACCTCTCACCCCTACTGTGTAGGTGGAGCAGCTGCCACAGAGGTAAACACAATTAGCTTGACATCTACCCTTCCTCTGCGCCTAACCCCAGCAGTAGGGGTGATCTGTTTCCAGGGAGTGGTGAAGATGGTAGAAATACCTACGAGACAAGTTCTTTTCAAGGCCTGTTTTCTGCACCTTAAATTACTATGCTTCATTCCAGTGTCTCCTACCTATAATCCACCTCCCTCAGGACATTGCCTAGTTTGTCTCATGGCATTTTTTTCTTCCGGGGGATGGGGAACTATCTCAGGGTCAGGGAGAATGCAGAAGCAGCAGGACTAGGAGCATCCGTGAGACTTGGGGAATTGGAGCTGAAGGAGGAATGGCAGGATGAAGAATTCCCTAGGTGAGGAGGTGAGAGGGAGGTTGGGAGACAGAAGTGATGGTCACAATGGAGGGCAAGGATGGAAAATTAGATCTTGAAGAGGGGGTGGGGGGGAGAAGGAAAGCAGAGATGTAAAATCATGGCAGGAAGAGAGAACTGATACCTGGCTTGGTGCCTTTAGCCTATGTTTCTTCCCCCTTTTAATCTTTATTTCTCTCCAGATTGCTTTCTGAAGAGTCTGATTCTTTTGAAGATCTTGATGATCCTAAAAGAGACTCACAGGCAGGTAGGTAAATGAGAGCCTAGGCCTCAAGTTCTTGATTCTAATCCAGTGGAGGGTTATGCCGCCCTCATCCCTTTTCCGTTCTATTTCCCTTTTCCAAAATGCCCCGTGTTAGTCCTTTAGAATTCACCCCATATTATCACTTCCACGTGCAAGGAATCCTAACCAGCACACACGCATCTTTATTTTTTGCCCCCCTCCCCCTACCCAGGTACCCCCAGCACTTTAGCCCTGTGTGGCCAGCGCCCCATGCGTAAACGTCTTTCTGCCCCGGAGTTACGACTGAATTTGACGAAGGGGCCTGGAGATAACGGTTCTCCCATCCACTCTGTACCCACCTCTCCTGACGACAGTACTGACCTGGAAATAGATGAATTGGAGACACCTTCGGACTCCGAGAAGCTGGACAGCGGACATGAATTTGAATGGGAAGGTGAGAAAGAAACCTGAGGAACTAGCAGGTAGAAGTCGAGGCCGGTGTTAAATCTCAGGATGGATTTAATGGGACTGGAGGAGAACTAATGAGGTGGGGACTGAGAGGTAAGGTCAGCAACTTGAGGATGGAAAGGAAGAACCTAGAAATCCAGTGGGAGAGGAGTCCAATGAGGAGAGGTGTATCATGAAAAACCATTGGATGACTGTCGCAGGCCATCACTGATTAAAATTGGAGTGATCAAGATGAATAAGATCCCTACCCTCAGAGAATTACCTGTTTGGTAAGAAATAAGCATATTGTATGTACCAATAAGTACAGTTAAAGGTTACGATCTGCATGTGTTCAGGGTACAATGTACGCAGAGAGAAAGAAAAGGTCACTTCTGCCCAAGACCTCACGGAGGAGGTGATTCTGAGCAGTTTAGCATGTAATTGGAGAAGCCACTAGGACTATAGCATGACATGTTGGGAACTCAAAGGATTAAGCGTGACTGTTTAGATATTAAGGAAAGCTGTTTCTTTACTCATAACACTTCTGACACCAGACATGAGAGTTTTCCCCACATCAACCAATTCTCCAGCTCTCCACACACGAACAGGTATCCAGGGTTCAGTTATGACACTAACTTCCCGGAGTTAGCACAGACCCCAGAGCTTAAGGGCTCAGTCCCACAAGACTGTCGCCCCGCCCCCCACTTCAGACACCAGTGGCGTGTCCAGGTTGTCCCCTGTGCTCCCGACCAACTTCAAGGCCCCCTTCTCAGGTTCGATAGTTTGCCAGAATGGCTCCCTAGAACTCAGGAATACAATTTATTTGCTAGATTACAGATTTGTTGTCAGAGGAACCGCCAGGAGGAAGAGATGCACAGGACGAGGAGTGGGAAGGGGGGGGTGGAGCTTCCATGCCCTCTCCAGGCACACCACCCTCCTAGTACCTCCAGGCGTTAACTAACCCAGAAGCTCTTCATGCCCCCCCCCCCTTTTTTTGGCATTTGAAAAAATATATTTTGTTGATTTTTTTACAGAGAGGAAGAGAAAGGGATAGAGTCAGAAACATCTATCAGCTGCCTCCTGCACACTTCGTACTGGGGATGTGCCCCCAACCAAGGTACAGGCCCTTGACCAGAATCGAACCTGGGACCACTCAGTCCACAGGCCAACACTCCATCCACTGAGCCCCTTCTGAGAGGCTTCCTATGGAGGCTTCGTTATGTGGACATGATTGATTAATTCACTGACCATTTGTGATTAACACAACCTCTCGCTCCTCTCTCCCCTCCCCAGAGTTCTAACCCTCTAATCACATGGATGGTTCCCCTGGCAACCAGCTACTGATCCTTAGCGGCTTTCCAAAGTCACCTCATTAATATAACTCAAACCCGTGTATTTGAAAGGGGCTTGTTATGAATAACAAAACACCTTCTCACTTTTTTCATCAGGAGCTGTCCCAGAGTCAGGAACAAAAGAACAACAACAAAATATAATATCACTCAGATATGAGTGGCTGAGAGGTGAAGAGAGAATGACAAAAGATAGTGCTATGTGAAATAAGCAAGGTCAACTCATGGAGATCCTTGCTACCATGCTAAGGAGTTTAGGTTTTATCTGATAAGCAATGAGGTGGGGTCATTGAATGCTTTAAAAAAATATATTTTTATAGATTTCAGAGAGGAAGGGAGAGAGATTGAGAAACAGAAACATCAATGAGAGAGAATCATTGGTTGGCTTCTTCCTGCATGCACCCTACTGGGGGACCTAGTCCGCAACTTGGTCACATGAATCGAACCTGGGTCCCTTCAGTCCACAGGCTGATGCTCTATCCACTGAGCCAAAGCGGTCAGGGCCATTGAATACTTTTAATCAAGGGAATGACATGATCAGATTTAATTGCTCTGAAAAGATTGGAAATAACCTAAGGGCTGCCCCAGTAGGATATTAATGGTGCATCTATACAATGGAATACTAAGTACTAGGCAATTATTTTTTAAGATGAGGCAGCTCTTTCTATTGTCATAGAAAGATTTTGCAGAATTAGTGGGTATAGTATAT